AAGATTGGACAACTCATTCTAGAGTTATAATGTTGACAAGGTATGCATGAGGTCAAGTGTTAATCATCACTCGGCTTCACCTCGCTCCAACAATAAAACTTTTATTTATTTATTATTCTATAAAGATTCTTTATATTTGTTGTATATCTAGTTAGCAATAACATTTACCATTTTAATGCTTGTCATATTTTTCGACCACTAGATGACACTTCTACATGTGCGTGCAGGAAGCAACTAACACTTGACTTCAAGCATTCCTTGTCAGCATTATAACTCTAGAATGAGTTGTCCGATTTTGATGAAATTTTCTAGGATGACTCATCATCACTCAAGGTTGAACTGATTAAAATTTCAACTCTCAAAAATGATCCATACTGAAGAAAAACATGATCTTTGTTTTGAACTCTATCTCCAGTTCTACAAAAATTGATCATTTTGTTGACAAGGAATGCATGAAGTCAAGTGTTAGTCGCCACTCGGCTTTGCCTCACTCCGACAATGACATCCAAGAATTTGTTTGAATATGCTTAAGTTAAATTAAATAACAAAAATTTATTAATATAGTAATATTGATACATTGCATTTGTAGGCAGTTTTATGCATGAAATATAGAGCTAAAAAATGTTTAAAAAAAAAAAAAAGCCTTTGTTTTGGGGATCAGGAACAGATTAATCCATTTTATATTGTTTCAGTTTTTGAACAACTTTTAGAAAGGAATTATGTTCAAAAACCAAGATTTGATTGCATTGTTATAGATATATAAGATTAGATAGGACTTTTTTAAGCTGACAAGATGACTTTGAAGACAATAAAATCCATTTAATGCATTATTTAGTAAGATGCATATACCTAAACTTCATTTACAAGCTAAATTTTCTGTTTTTATTACAAATAATTTATAGTATAATGATAATGACATTTCTGATTTATATTAGCAAATACTATTTACTAATTTACTAATTTTTACTGCTGAATTTACTAATTTTAACTTATAGTTAAAATTAAAATTAGTAAAATTTAAAAGTTAATATTAGTAAATTCATTTAGAATTTATTAAAAAGACATTAAAATTTTTATATTGATTACTGGTAAAATATAAAATTTTTTATTTGCACATTATACATGATGTATTTATACTATAGTAATAAAAATAAGTTTTTATTATAAAACATTAATTATTTTAAATAAATATTAAAATTTCATAATTTTAATATTAATTCTAAAACGCTTAAAAGTATTTTAGATAACATTTAAAATTCACTAATATGCTAATTTCAATGTATAAGAAATGCACTTAACAGGATGTTTTCAATTCTGTAAACATTTTTTTAATGTAATTAGTATTATGTAATTAGTTCCTGTAAAGAAAACTGTTAAATATTTTTTATTCAAAAATTTCTTTTTGAATAAAAATATAATCAGAAAAATAAATTTAAGAAAAAATTACACACATGCAGTTTCCTCATAGTTTAAAAAAATAATTAAATTATTTATGAATTATATTTATATTTTTCATTGTAAACAAAATAGCACAAAGGTTCTGATTAAAAATTTTGTTATAATTTATATAAAAGAAAACATTATTTCTTTTATATAGGAAAATATAATATGTAAACAGTACCTTATATAAATATATAATTTATTTTAAGTTGATCACAGATATAATAATAATAAGATTTAATAACAATTTTTAGAGAATAAGTAAAAAATATATTTACCTCTTCCACTTCTTCTTGGAGATATTGTTGTTGTTGCATTTTGATTGGAAACAAAAGAAACTTGCAATATTAATGAAATAAAAATAGCATATATGTATAAGTTATACTTCATGTAAGCCATGTAATTTTAATTGAAATATGAAAGGAATTTCTTCTGACTGGCAGTACTCTTATTGGAATTCCTGTCCCTGCAGCTGTTGGACTGCTCAATGTCAAGAAGAGAAATGTCCTTAATCTTTTTTTTTATCATCTCTTGTTAAAGTTAGATATATAGTTTCACAATGACAAATTATAACACTGAAGTAAACAAATTTGGAAAGATTTCTAAAGTTTTAAAATATTTTTGAATGTTTATATTTTAATGTAAATAGATACTTATAAATTTTTAATTTAAATATTTTAAACATTAAGAAAGTTTAAAATATTTTTCCATTTAGATTGTTATAAAATTTACAAATAATTAATTAATATAGTGGTTAATATAAAGTTATAGTAGATATTTAAAGAAAATATGTAACAGTATAAAGAAAATAATATATAATTAAAATATATATTTTCTTTAAATATCTAGTATAGCTCTATAATACATGGTAATTAATATATAATTTATATTACTTATATTAATTTTATATTAATTTATTTAAAGTCAATTATTTATATTTAGAAATATTTTCTACTATCCAATTGTTTATATAGTAGCAATGAATTTAAAATAATAAACTTAAAGAAACTGCTGTTGAAATATAAAAAAATATGAAATTTTATAAGAAAATATTAATTAATTATTTTTAAATGTCACATTTATATATAATCACCTTTTTACTACTGTTACTTTGGAATATTCCTTTTTTAAACTTAGAAATGCTGAACAGAATGTTTTTAGAATTATTGTTTTTTAAATATGAAGTATTTCAAGGTTTCAGTCATAATTTTATAACATGTTAAATTTATGCAACCATTTAATAGTCATGACTACTGCTATTCAGTTTATTTTTATTTTTAGATATCATTCTAGTAATTAAATGATTCAATAAACACACAAATATAATAATTATATTCATTGAATCTTCGTATTGGTCATAAATTTGTAATTAAACAAGTTATTAATGATTATTTTTTCCCTTCTATCTGAGTAACAAAACTCAAATAGATAAAATTGCTATTTAGATGAAAGAATCATTTTTTTCATATTTCAGTTGAATTCAGTATTAATTAAAAGTATAAAAAATTATTACTTTTGATGTTGTTATAATATAGTATATACCTTAAGCAGTAATAAATGTCTATTAATCACATAATAACTATGTTATCATGTGCCTTCCTCATACAGACAGACTATTCTTAAAACTTGTTAAAATCTATTGATGAGTATGTGTATTCATTCTATATGACAATAAAAAGTACACAAGTTTCATCATTATTTTAACAAATTCAAAAGAAAATAATAATTTATTCTGCCATCTGTATTATGATTTGTCCTGTATTTTTTACTTTTTTTATAGTTTTCATATTTGTTGACAATAGATTAAAAGATTGATTTCATCCAAGTATTTTTTTTTAGTTTAAAGATAACTTTTTTAATATTGATTTGTTGGTTATATTTGTTTTTTAAACAAATTTTCATGTAATATTCTGCAAAGTATGCTTGGTTATTCAAAAGTTATTGTTTGAGAGAAAATAAAACAGAGTGAAAATAAATTTTAAGTGCTTTCTGAATAATTTTGTGGCAAAGATGATTAGATCTGAAAATTGGATTCTTATAATGATTTTTTTCAAAATAAGGAAAACTTCATAATAAAACTTATCACATAAAAAATGTAGATAATAAAATTATGCAAAGTAAGCTTAATTATGAAAAATCATTTGTCTAATTTTGAGTTAAGTTAATTTACTAGATTTTTTCATTTTTAAAGAGACAGGAATCAAAAATATCTCAGCCATTAATAAATTTTAAAGAACAGAAAATTAAATTTTGCCATTTCATCTTTGAAAATACAAGGTATATATTTTTATCTTACAGCAGGTCATGAAAATCTTTCTGTACTGTAAAGAACCAAGTACTTTCTCATTTCAAGTCCATTTTCAGCCCAAAAAATTAATCAAATTCCAATTCAAGTATTCTATCAAGTAATTGGAATTTGGTTGATTTTTTGGACTCTGAAAATGGACAAAGAAAGTTTAAAAGTAAAGAAAGATTTTTAATGTCTCCTGCAAGTAGACAGATAACATTTGTAATGTATCATGTTCAGTATGGTTGTTTATATTTGGTAACATTAACTTTCTAACTTGCAGGAATGTTTTCCTATTAGGGAGTTAGTTTATTATATTTTATCAAATGTGTTTTAATCATCTGTGTCAGACAACTGTGACTGCAGACTGTAAAGAAAGGCATTGTAAAAACAAACATACTGCATTGGCCTATATATATATATAAAATTAATTAATTCCTCGATGCTATCATGTATATCAAAATCACATTAATCAAATACAGTGGTACTTTAGTACTTGACCGAACAATCACGATCCACTAGAACAAATTTTTGGTTAATAATTATTTTTATTTTAAATTTTGTCATCAGAAAAAGTTTTTTGTGATAAATGAGTAACTAATTTAAAAATAAAATGAAACCTTAAAGCTTCCTTGAGGATTAAGAAAAGAGCAACCTGACAAAAAAGGGGGTACGTACTCCAATGTTTGGGCACCCCCAGGTGCCAGATATAAGTGTTTTACAGTTAACAATGAAAAGGAAGCAAAACTAAGCATCTTATTAATTATACTTTATTGCAGTATACCTAGTCTTAGTCTTTAACATTAGTGTTTTAAATGAGTAAAAATTAATGTTTTTACTCATTTTCATAAATTCTTTTAAAATGTATTTACTTCTATTATCATCCAAAATTTTCCTGAAAAATCTTTTTTAAAACCTGGAATGCATCTTAAACTTGAATTATGGTAATTCTTAAAATACAGTATATATTTTTTTAAAAGAATGAAGAAAATGAATTTTTTTCTGACCAAATGAAACAAAAAGGTATTTTTGTTTCTATATTCTGTATTTGTAATTATATTTATCTTTTGCTACAATTCGTAAATGGTCATTCATAAATTCTTTTCAATGTATTTTGACAATGGCTGTGCAAATAGACAAAATTGTTTGAAAAATAAAGAATATTGCTAGTGAAGCCTTATTTTGGAGAGTTTTTGTACAAATTTATTTTTTAATATATATTATAGAATTTTATGTTTAAAATTTAAAAGTAATTTGCATTAATTAATTTTAGGTGAAGGACGATTTGGAAAAGTATATACTGCTGTTAATAATCTCACTGGTGAATTAATTGCCATGAAAGAGGTGTTGTTGTTGTTGTTGTTCACTGTACTGTAAATAATGTGCGTATATGTTATTTCAAATCCTTAATATTTTTAGATTCGTCTTCAACCAAATGACCATAGAGCCATTAAAGAAGCTATGGATGAAATCCGTACATTTGAGGGTATCAAGCACCCAAACATTGTACGATACTATGGTGTGGAAATACACAGGGTAAAATTTTAATTATTTAATTTTATGATAAAAATACTTTCAAAGTTATTATTTTGATTGTTATAATAATAATTAATTTATACTATTGAAATCATTAAATTGAGTATGTAATGTTTTAAACTATATTTTATTGCACTGTACATCATTTTGAATCAATCATGATAATTCGTTATGAATTATTCAAGAATATTTTATTTTAACTACAATGATAATTTATTGTCATTTTAATTTAAATAATAATATTAAATCTATTTACTAAATTAAAATAACAATAAATTATCATTGTAGTTAAAATATAATATTCTTGAATAATTCATAATGAATTATGATGATTATTGTGTATGATAAGCCCTAATATTAATATAATAATTACAACAATTTTCTTTTTTGTAAAAACAAATATGTTAAATAATAATAATAAATCTATTTACTAACATATTTGTTTTTACAAAAAAGAAAATTATTGTAATTATTATATTAATATTAGGGCTTATCATATACAATAATCAAGTATTTGAAATAATTTATTACACTTTGGTTATCATAATTGTAAATTTTAAATGGTAATCTTCATTACAAAATTAACTAAAATACATTTTGAAACTATGGTTCCCTCTTCAGAGAAATAAACAAATATACATTTTAATAATATATGGTATAGCTATGTATTTAAATAATTTACGACATAAAAAAATTTCAGGAAGAAATGTTAATATTTATGGAATACTGTAATGAAGGATCATTGGAAAGTGCTTCACAACTTCATTTGCCCGAAACTCTAGTTAGAAAGTATACAAGAAAGTTATTAGAAGCAGTGAATGTTCTACATGAACATGGCATAGTTCATCGTGATATAAAAAGTGAGTAAAAAGATGAATTTTTAACTCATTTACATTTATCACGTTATTTAAAAATTTGGTATGTAAGAAAGTGTATACGATTATGATCAAAGCCAGATTTTTTTCAGAGGTTAAATTGACAAAAAACATAAAAATATAAATTTAGTTAATAATATAAATAATCTTAAAACAAATTGAGATATTAGGTTTAAAGGTATATCTGTGTTTCATTTGTATATTGTATGTTTTGATATAATTCAATTAAAGTTGACATAGAAATCAGAAGTGATGTTCAAGAAATTTTACTGTATTCTTGTTTCATTATCTGTAATTTATAAAGGAAAGGAAAAATAAATAATAATAAAGTAGCGCATCAATTATCTGAAACAATTCAGGACTGGGATTTTTCGGATAACTGATTATTTACGAAAAAATAAACACAAAACTGTACTGTATACTGTATATATTTTCTATCATACATCTTACAAATACATATCTTATATAAAGTAGTACATTAAGTAGGCCTACAGTTTAGGTTGGCAGAGAGGGAAAGAGTGCTGCAGTGCCACAGCACTAGTGAAAATTTGAATTTGCTGACTGGAACACTTTCAGTTAATCGATGTTTTGGTTGATTGTTATTCGGATAATCGATGCTCTACTATAGTGTAAAAATGTTATTAATATTAACATCAGGTTGCTGGAAGTGGAAATGGGTTAATGAGGTTAAGAGATTATAATATATTAATTACAAGCTAAACAATTATAAATTATTGAAAATCATATATGTATGCTTATATTGCTTTCTTATAACATTTTTAATTTATGAATTTTTTATTTCTTTGATAAAACAATAATTTTGTTATAAGATGATTTTAATGAAAATCATTAACAAATTTTTAAATTTATCTCACAGATGTCACTAGTTACTATTTTGAAAAAATGAAATGGTATTAAATTATTATAAAAAATTTAAAAAGCTTATCTTTAATCTGCAGTTGAATTTAAATCTGTATAACTTTGAATTTAAAAAATTAAATTTTTATTTTCTTAATAAATTTTATTTTACTAAATTTTGTTTTCTGATATAAACAATTTTACCTCTTGATTAATTGTAATCTATTTCTGGTCAAATTTTCTGTTTATAAATCAATTAGAATACTCCTGAAGTATTTATTTGTAAAAGAGAGATATTGTACCAGGGAATCAAATGAAAAGCTTACTTGTACATGGTAGACTTGCAATGCTGTGATTAACAAGTTTACCATACTTGTTAATGTCTTGATGTTCAAGATTTAAATGTTTCTCATGTTGTACACAACATGAGAAACTTTTAAACCTTGAACATTTATTTATACTATTGATTTAGGGACATTTGCAACAAGAGTAAGGAATTTCAATCTATTTCTCACAAATAAGTCTTTTATTTGATAATTCTGTATTAAGAATAATCATTTAACTTGTAAAACACTAGGATTACAGAGAAAATTTTTGGACTAGCCAACAGATTCTAATAATAATTTAGAATAGATGATGATCTTTTAATTTTATGAATTCATTTATCTCAGTTGATCAAGAATAATGCATTTTCAATTAAAATCAATCTCATTAATAGTATAAATCTGTTTATAAAGATTTATACTATTAATAAGATTTCATGATTAAATATTTTTAAAGGAAGTTTAAATTATTATTTATTTAATAATATATTATGAAACTGCTTTAAATATTGATTTAGGTGCAAATGTTTTCTTAACTTCTGATGGGAATTTAAAACTTGGTGATTTTGGATGCTGTATTAAATTAAAAAATCACACCACAATGCCTGGAGAATTATGTAGTTTTGTAGGAACGCCAGGTATGTTATATTTGTAAATTAATTTAGAAATTTATAATTATATTTAATTTTAAAAATTAAATTGCAATAAAAATAAAGATTTAGATTATTTTTAAAATCTACATTCAGATACACGTCTTTAAATGAACTTCTAGACAATTACATGTGTGGAATAAATACAAAATAATAAAAACTTTATTAGAATTAAATATTTTGAAAAATTAATTTTACAAATTTCTAAAAAATTTCATTTGATCAACCTCAAAATTTTCATATTATTAAACAGTTGAATATAAATATTTTGATGCTTTAGATTAGTTGATAAAGGGAGTATTCATGATTCATAGCTTTTCTCACTATACCAGCTTTTTCAGCCTTTCCAAAAGTCACAAAAGCATTGGTTTTTGATCATATTTTTGTTACTATAGGTTCTATGGCAAATGCCAACTGCTTATTGGAAAGCTTCCTCGGAAGAATGTTTACCAATTGTCAAAATCTGCCAACAGACGGAAGAGAGCCAAGTCATTTTTTGATTTAAAAAATAGAGAAAGAAATCCTCAAAAAAAATGATGCAAACTAGTAAAGTGGTCCAACAAAATGAAATAAGAATTGCAAATTTTTCTGTCAGAATGTGTATTTACAGTTTATAACTTTCATAGAATGTTGTGCTTTTAAAGGTGGGAAAAGCTTTCCATTGTGAATACCTCTATAGATTACAATGTACTGGTACATATGATGTTCAATACATTACATTCATACATACAATACATTTATATATGAAAATAATACTTTAAAGTAATTTCAGACAGTACAGATAGGTAATTTGGTAAATAATTCAAATGTATTACTGATAAGTTAATCTACATCATGATATACTAAATTAATTTAGTAAATTAATTAGTTGTTTTGACTCTGCAATATTGCATATTTTTAAAAATAAAATAAATTTTTTAATGTAAATTTAACATATTATTAATTTACATACCATAGCTTATATGGCTCCTGAAATATTTACAAAAAGCATAACAGAAGGACATGGTAGAGCAGCTGATATTTGGAGTGTAGGATGTGTTGTTCTTGAAATGGCATCAGGAAGAGTAAGTAATATTTATTTTCTGTAATATATGAAAAATTATTAAAATTAATAAGTATTTTCTAAAATTTATATAAAATATTAAGTATAATTATATATTCATCTAACAGTTATCTTGTTTATTTTGATTTTGTGATTTTCTGTTTGGAATTGCTGTGAGCACTTAATGTACTTTCTTCGTAGACTGTATATATCAACAAATAATTTTTTAAATTTTTTGTAATTTAAAAAATAATAAATTCTTACTTAAATTTTTAAGTAAGAATTTTTTAAATGAGCGTTCCAAAACGCAGTTATCGTTTATACAAATTAGCCAGTATTCGATTGCAGTTAGTACGAAGGTACTTTGTTCTTGAAAAAGGGCATTAAAGATGTCCGAAAACGTTTGAATTGGGATAATAAATTTGGCTGTATCGTAAAGGTTTTAGAGTTGTAGCACTTAATGTATTTATGAATTTGAACTACTTGACATAAATGTTCTAAATCATCATATTTTTCAATTTACATACACTTTTGTGAAAATAGAAAGTTTCACTAACTATTGATCATCCATAAATTGAAAATACTTAAAGAACATTGCCAAATGTTTTTCAATACTTACTCCAAAATTATCTATTGTTAATTATTAATTTACAGTTTAAAGCACTTACTGCACTTAACTTTGCATCTTTATTACTAAGTTAACTTTAATTTATTAGCTTTAATTTTAGTTTCTGCATTTAATTTTATAATTTTATTTTATAGAGACCCTGGCATGATTTAGAAAATAGTTATCAGATAATGTTTCGTGTCGGAATGGGTGAAATCCCAAATATTCCAGAATCACTTAGTGATGAAGGACGTGACTTCTTAAATCATTGTCTACAACATGATCCTCATCAAAGATGGACAGCTAGCATGTTATTAGATCATCCATTCACAAAAGTATGTCAACATGTATTTATAACATCTTTTTAAACAGTCTACAATCTCTTATCTAAAACTTAGTTTTTGAAGCTTTTTGGTTTTCAAAGGTTTTTCATTGAGCATGGAGTGTCACTAGCCTGCATAACAACAGTTATTTACAAGTCAGACATCTCTGCTAGTCAGCTATTTTGTTTATTTTTAGATGATTTGTTTTTTGACTTGGAAAGCATTGAAAAATGTCAAAAAGAGCTGGTCCATGTTAGTCATTTCAATTATTAGTGGAACCTAGGGAATCCTTACTTTCATAGTACAATATATAAATACAGTACAACATTCTGAAATCCAAAAAGGTCTGGTCTCAAGGATTTTGAGTAAGAGATTGTTGACCTGCATTTTATTTTTTATGAATATAAAAAAATTAATATAATGTTTCTTTAAAGTAGAAATCAAGTAGTTTTAGATTTTTATTTTAATAATTTCATTTGAATTTTATTGTTAATTAGTATCAACAGTCATGTAGAGTGCATATGTAATAAATTTGTTATGTACTATATTACAAAAATGCCTAAGCTTAAAAATTTTCAAGGGAAATCTTTTATTCCATTATATAAAAAAATTGTTTTATGCATTTTATCATACATTTAGCTTTATTTAACTTGATGCAAATCAGTTTTCAACATAAAATTTTAATAGCCATAAATTTATTCTAATTGTATTAGAATATTAGAAGATCCTAACAATTTTTAGTTATTTGTAGCTAGATTATTTTTATAAAGAATTTATTATGCTCATTTAAAAATAAATTATTAAAACATTTTGAAGAAATTCTATAATTTTCCAATTTCTAATACAAGCTAATTTCTTTGCACTTCTGGAAAATTTGAATTAGTAAAAATTCTGATAAATAACAACACAAAAGACAATAATATTTCAGTATCAACTTATTCTTTAAACTACTTTTCAGTTTATATTTCTCATTCTATCTAGTAATTTTTGGTTACTGTAGCCCATTATTAGGGAACACTATTACGAAAATTTTCTAAAAGTATAATTTTTCTTTGATAATATTAGTTCACATGAGAAAATGATCAAAAATGATGTGTGTGTTCAACAGAAAGATGTTCTGCTTAGTTTTGCAAAACCCAAAAACACTGGAGTGAGAAATATAAACTCAAAAGAAAAAAAAGCAATTTGGGTCTTGAAGACCCAAATTGTTTTTTTTTCCTTTTAATTCCTTAAATTGTTAACTTTTTAACTTCAAAAGTTTGCATACAGGCTGAAGGATTTTTGATTATTTTATTTTTACTAAAATTATCTGTTTTACTTATATTATTATTGATTCTTTTTATTCAATATATTTTATGTCTGTTATAAGTCCAATTTTAATTGAAGGGAAAAATATCTTAATTCTTTTATTAGAGCATTTTCTTTATATATTATATATTATCATTTGCATAAAGTTGATATATTTTTCAAAATATTATTATTATAAATTGTGTCATTTATATTTCAGGTAATTGAAGATGATGACATTATATGAAATTCATCAATATAGACTAATGTAAAAAAGTTATTTCATAAATCCAAAAATGAAATTATTTATGAGGAAAAAGGGCTGAAAATCCATTAAGTATTTATTCTTATGCAAATTCAATCAAATGATAAAAATTTTTATAAAAAGAAGACTGTTAAAAGTTGTAAGATATAAATAAATTGTTGAAATTATATTTATTGTATGTACTATATATATCGTTTCTATTAATGTTTGAGGAGAACTTTCATTTGTAAATACAATATTTTAGAATATCTGCAAATAATCTGGTCTTCCATAATTTATTCTTATGTAAAAATATTTAATTATAAGTTATTAAATGAAACAAGTAGTACATTTATTGATTTTTTTTCATCATTAAATATTATTTGTAGAATTTTTAAATCTGTTTATTAATAATTATAGAAATTAATATTCAGTATTAATTAAATATCTTTATAATTAGAATTGATACATTATCAAATAAATTTAATGCAGTAGAAACTCCATTAACTAAAGATCAAATCAGTTGGGATCTTGCTATTCAAGCTTGTTTTGAAAAATTTGTAGATTATGTATGAATGAATCTTACATAATAAATAAACAATTAGTAATAGAGAATGAAATTATGATTAGTAGATTGATAGAAACAATAGCAGATCCAGAAATCTTTAGAAGGGGGTGCAGAAAGAAAATATGCCATACAAAATTTTTTATTACTTTAGGTACCAGACTTTACTTTGTAAACCTTCCTGAAGAGGGTGCAGCTGTGCCCTGCACCACCACACTCCTCTGTATCCACTCTTGATAGAAAGGGAATATGACTTGTACTTCTCCAGTTTCAATCTATTCTACTTTAGCATAGTATAGAAAGAATGTTAAATTAAAATGTATGTGTGTTATCCTTAAAGCAAAAAATATCTATAATTAATCATGCAATAGAGGTGAGAACATCAGAAAATTTTATATTGAATTCATCAGGAGGGCAGAATATGTCTGATCACACAAACAAGGTTTGGCAAAATTAAAACAGCTCCAGGAAAATTTGCAGTAGAAAAAGATTATTATGGTGATAATCACAAAAAATGAAGTAGCATCTCAGCTAAGCTTCTAGGCATTAATTGGGGAAATTCACCAAAATGCAAAGATCTTGTATTATAAATTCAGAGCTGCCAAGAGCTTGTATGGATCCCAGGGAGTAAAGCATATCCTCTCTGCACCTTAGCAGATGCTTTTTTTTTTTTGGAACAATTGAAATTTGTTGGATGTTTCTTTATTAATAAAAAGCAGTCTTAAATATTTTATTTTTGTTATTAATAGTAAAAGCAACTTTAATTTATAGGGATAGGAACTACTTGGAGATCCTAAGTTTTCTCCAGTCTTGAGGAAAAATCCTCATCTTCCCCTTTTGTTTCTGATCAGTTCACTCACTTGTTACATTACTGCGTACTTACATGGTTATATACTTGCAGTAAGAATTAGTTGGTCTTTGTTATCAAACCAAAACAGAGTTTTAAAAGGAACAGAAACAGAAAATTGTTCTTATTTCGAAACTTTTTACAACACTATTTAATGGATGTCATTTTGTGTTGGCTTGAATTAAAATGAAATAGTCACTCATTCTCCACAAAGAAAATTTGCAAATTTATAAACTGCATTTAAAAACTTTCTAAACTGTCTTGATTAAATAGCTAACTAGAAGTTTTATCATCATTTTATAAACATTATTTTTCTTTATTTTTCATACCTGTTTTGTAAATAATAAATTTTTTTATAAAGTTTTTGACTGACTTAATAATTATTATTATCTGTTTTGAAAAAAATTAGTACATTTCTTTGTATAGTTTTTTCTGAAAAATTATGTTATCATAAATAAATTTTGGATATCAAAAAGTCCTTTAACTAGCATTCCATGCTAAAAAGTAGGCCATCTCGTGTTGACAATGACATCAAATTTATAATTGCATTTGCTACCATATGATGGTGATGTGCTTAAATTAAAGCATTCTTTTAATTTAAATAATTTTTACATTAACTTATCAATTTAATGTTGCATGGCAAATTACACTTTAGGTCTATTGAATTATTTGTATGATTTAATTTGAATTTTCCAAACTATTAGTAACAATTATTAATTGATTTGTAAACTGTTATTTTATTTCATCTACAATAATTTTTGGAGAAATTTTGTGTTTTGAATATATTTTGCACTCCTGAAATTCATATCAAATAAATAAAAATAAAGTATTGTAAATGTGAATTTACTATCTGTGGTTTTCAGTTATCCAGAACCCACTTTTCCATTATTTCTCTAGTTAATAGAGTTTCTACAGTAATAATTTTTAAATGAAAGTAGTTTGACATCAAGAAACAAGGATTATTAAAAAACTCAGGTTTATTAATTATAATTAATATTTGAAGTGTGAGATTCAATTTATCATCAAACAGAATATTGTAATAATAATGGATAACATTAAAATTTAAAAAGAAAAAAAATAATAATAAAATGAATTTTATATTTAATTTATTGAATAATTTTTAATCATTTTATATCAGCATCTAAGATATTTTTAATGTCATTGAACATTTAGCAATGTATTAAAGAAAGAAGTTTTCAGATGTCAGATTACAAATATAAAAACAAAGTTTTAGAATATTAAAATTTCTTTACAAGAACAAAAGTTAAATACAGAATACTTTTCATTTTTTTATCAGTTTATTTTATAAGACAAATAACAGCAATATATGATAAAAACCAGGATGTAGAATTGATTTGATATTGATAATGAGAAAACACATCAACAGGAATTTTCTGAAATCTTCACATCCATTTATATTTATGTAAAGAAGGTGTAAAAGTGAGTATGTGAAGAATTCAGAAATGTTTTTTTTACAAAATAAATATGCATTACATTAATAAAATAATACATGGAAAGGATTAACAGTTAACTTAATTCTCCCTGTTTAAACAAATAATATACTTTTGAATTTTTAATAAAGCATTTAAAAATTTGATTCCTCAATAGAGCTTGTTCTTATGTCCTTGGATTTTGAAGTATGATTGCATATACAGTGATACCTCGGTTTTCATCGATAATCCATCCGAAAACAATCAGTGAAATCCAAAACCAATGAAAACCAAGGCAATTATTTCCATATGAATCAATGTAAATCCAATTAATTCATTCTAGACACTCCAAAATACAGATCAAAAATATATTTCATAGAGAATAAATACAGTGTTTAATACTAAAAAACAATAAGAAATTAATATAAATGAATATAAAAGACTAATGTAAAGAATAAATGAAGATTTAACATGGCTATGAAAACTTTCTTTGGTTTCATGGAGCTAAAATGAAAGGAAAGCAATGCAATTTTTTGGCTTTTTTTTTAACTCTCTCTGCCCTGTGGGCACTAAGAGGATGTCTTTTAGCAAGCCCACAATGGGGTGGAGAGGGACAGGGCCCGACATATCTGGATGGATCACTTTCCGAAAAATTCATAGGGATATTTTTCCCTTCCACAGTTGATCTTGGGACTCCCCAGAGCGGTAGGCTGCCACCTTGACCGCTCAGCCATTCGGCTGTCATAGAGCAGTTGTTTGGCTAGATGCACAGAGTAATCTCAAGAAACAACGCTAAACTGAGCAGGAAAAAGCATGGGTCTCCCTTTGTTTTTGCAAATTTGCAGCGAGGTCACATGGACACACCAATGAAATCTGAGGCAAATTTTTCGCAAAAAAGCTGACAATAACCAAAGTCAATGAAAACCAAGGTATTACTGTAATCGATTTGATCATCTTATGTTTCTTTGTTTATTCTTATTTATTTTATGGATTACTTAAATTATCATCTCTTGTATTATATAAAAATATGTAGATCATAATTATTAGCAGAATACAAAAATGAGATTCAGCATTATATGATTCATAATACAGGGTGTTCTGCTTGAAAGCATTCAGTTTGATTTGTCTATAAAAATTTAATGGTTAAAGATGTAAATTCACCAAAGATTTTATATAAGAGGAAAAATTTTATTGAAAAAAATCACCACATCTCTATGTGCACTTCATCAGTCACAGTGACATCAAGTTGGTAGGAAATTTTCTGCTAAGTATGCTGTAGCATATCCTCTCTCACAGTGGCAATGGCTGTGATGATGTGCTCCTGAAGATTCTGAATATCTGACTAAAAACATCTTTCATGTAACCCCACAGAAAGAAATCTAAGCGAGTCAGATCAGGTAGCTTGGAAGCCAGATCACAATCTGTCATTTATCCTGTGGCAAAGTCATTACTGGACAATAATGTTAGACTTGCACCATCTTGCAATATAAAAACATCTATGAAACTTGATAAGATTTTTCTACCAGTTACTACTTGTTGCTTTTATATATCTTAAACCATTCATTTTTTATGGCAAGTTAAAATCAGGTACTTTTGAGCAGAACATCCTGTATAATATGCATATAGAGATAACCAGATGGCCAAGGCAGTTAAGATGTTGGCCTATCACTCTGGGGACCCAGAGTAAAATCCAGGTGAGAACCCCAGGAATTTTTCAAGGGCAATAAGTCCTAGATATGTAAGACCCTCGTCTTTCATCATTCAGTCATTCTCATTGTGAGCCTAGCCAAATCCAGAGTAGGTATGGAAAAACGTCTTAGCACCTACTGAGCAAATGAAACCAAAGCCAAAAATGAAAGAAAAATATGCATACAAACACGCCATACATCATATTTAATATAGTGTGGTTGTCTAATAATTCAGCCACTAATTTTTCCATGTCTGAGCTTAACCTTTCATGAGTTAAATGTATTGAATATCCTCAAAATTTGTCTGTCCTTCCTATAAATTATAATTTATCATATTTTGTAAATCATTACACAATATTTTATTATAATAATTTTGTTATTCTAAAAAATCAGCACTCTGTATTGTGAAAAAAAAATCACATGAACTTTTCTTTATGAATCTGTATGATACAGTTTTCTTTTAAAATGAGAACATTAATAAAGAATATTTATTTTATAAATTAATATTGACTTTAATTCTTTTAATAAAACTATTTAATAAAAGCAGCAAAAACCTCAATCTAACCTATTAAAAAAATTCAAAAATTGTGTCATAAAAAAAGTTATATACTAAACACCTAAATAATTATTACAAGATATACTCATTGCCATAAAAATTAGTGCACCAAGAAGGAGTCTTTGTCAAATGTAATTTGTGTGCGAGAGTAACAGTGATATAACTTAAGTAATTACAAAATGAAAGTAAAAGGATTATTTATTGCAAGAAAAAACCACAAATGAAAGGAGGTTCTAGTACCCTGTTCAGCCATCTCTAGATGTGAATGCATGATGTGATACAGGAGGGCATGAAGGCTTACAGGTGCCGTATAGTGTCCTGTGGCATCTCAGTCTACAGTTGCTGCAAGCGGTCCTCTAGTTTGGCCAAATGCCGTCCAGGCAGGGGTGGATCTAGATTTTTTGGAGCCTAGGGCATATTGAAGTCCAATGGGGGCCCCATTTTTTGTTAAGATTAAGAATTATTACAATAAAACAAATAATACTATAAATTATCATCATTATTAATATTAACTATTTTTTTACTATATGACGAGTATATTATTGATATCTCTAGGGCTTGCCAAACCTTGTCACGACAAGAGCCATATACAGTACCCCTCGTTACATCGCTTGTTGGGAGACAAAGAAAAAGCGCGACATAACTGAGTACTAAAAATTCTGAGCTTATATTAAACAGATTAGAGGATATATTCCATAGCATGTATATTATTTCATCAGCAAGTGTTTTTGATATACGAGGGCTATTTTTTAAATAAGGTCCGTTTGTGAATGACAGTGATTGCAGCAGTGTGCATGAGCATCTGCTTTCAGCATGCTTTGCGCGTGTTTAGATACCATTTGCAGCCGTATAGTCTGTCTGTTGCTGAACTGTAAAAGTTTATAATGTTTAAGAAAATTGAGTCGCCCGCCGACTGTAAGATACGATTCGAGTTCAGCACGAAAGATCATGGTAACTGTCTTTTTGGGACAGGAAAGGGACTTTGTTAGTGGATTTTATGTCAAGAGGCACAACAATCAATTCTGATGCTTATTGTGACCTTCAAAAAACTCTGCCTTGCCATACAAGACAAGCTGCGTGGCCTAATGTGTTCCGGCGGCAGATTTCTTTGAAGTCGGAATTAAAATTTTTGAGCGGTATGACAAATATTTGAACAAAATTGGAAATTATGTAGAAAAGTAGCTAAAAGTATGTAGAATATAGGAAAAAATATATTTTAATGATATTTACAGTATTTTTTTTCTTATTAAAAAACGGACCTTATTTAAAAAATAACCCTGGTAAAATAAGGTTAGTTTTTTAATACTAAATTTTATTCGTATTCAATTTAAAACATTATTTTAATGCTTTAAATTGTTTTTCACAGGTTAATTCCATTTTAAAATCTTAGTGAAGTTAATGATGTAAAATAAGTTAACGATTCTATTTTAGCAGAAACAAGTTTTAATATAACCTACTTCAGAAATTACGAAAACTTATTTGGAGAAAACACGTTTATTTTTGATTACTGATATTTAAAATTTTATTTTTATACATTGTGCAAACTACATTAATTAACATAAAAATTGCATCGCAGCAGCTTTTAGTTGAGCACATAGCACATTTTTTTGCGTGTTTTCGAATACGGCCTACCCTCTCGGAACAACAATCTTAGAATAGATATTTGACATCATTCCAACTATTTCAAATTGGAACTAAACATTTGGATTCATTAACAATATAGATTTTCATGTTATCATTTGTCTTAATTTTAAAATACATACCTTAAATAACTATACTACATAATATATTAATTAAGGTAATATTTTAGGTATTTATTTCTTAATTTTCTTTAAAATTAAATATTTATCTTTAGTGTTACCATTTACATTAATTAATTATAAAATTTTATAGTAAGAAGTATTCTAGCTACAAAAAATTCTATGCGTAAATTAAAATGTTTATAATTAAATTATTCATACTCAGAAAATTTTACTGGTGGAAATAAACGAGTAGTATAATTTTTAATGAATTTAAAGTTTTAAGCAAGATTTTTAAATATGTTTTTCTTCTTTATCCTAAGCTTTAATTAAATTTCATAGTTATATATTACTAATGAATCAGAACTTCTAGAAAAATTTAAATTATTTGGAATAATGCCATATAAGAGAGGTTTTTATTTTTACGATCAAACATCCGAACAACGGCCACTAACGAGAACATTAACTCCGAACAATCGATTTTTTTTTTTTTTTTCAAAATGAAACGTTTCCGAAAAGGGCGCCGTTTAGAGGTGTCAGTTATTGGAAATTCGACTGTGTTCGGACTTCAAATTATTATAAAACAAGACAGAATGTCCACTGATATTGAATTTAAATCGTAAAAATACCTAAGTGTCGAGTAAATTTTAAAGTTACAAATTTTGGAAAATAATTTGATGATTAGTTTGTATAAACGTTTCTTGAAATGGAAAAAATTCAGTTTCGAGATTTAAGGAACATCAATACAACATTCTGGGCTTGAAATATTTACTCAGTCGACATAATTTCAAGCTAAATTATTTGTGTGATTATATAATTTGGTTTCTTAGAATACTAACTCGAAGCTTAGTCCTATCTAGAAAATTCTTGAATCCGTATTGGTTCAGAAGCCTCGAATTAATAAATAAGACTCAGAGATTTAAGACTGATACAATTCGTTAATTTTTTATTTATTTACACTTCCAAAAATTCAAGTACCGTAACGTAGTTATATTAAATTGCCAATCATGATTTTCTCATCTTAATATCAACCTTAGAAAAAATAATTTCAGTTTTTCAACTTATACAACATTCCAATCATCACTACTCGTTTATTCATTCGTAGGGATTGTATAGTACATAGACTATAGGAAGAGAAACAGTCTTTTATATTTAAAAAAAAAAAACTATATTACACATAAATGTACGAACAAATAAAAACCCAGCGAAGCGGGTACTTACAGCTAGCTTTATCAAGTATTTAATGAAAGCCAAAGTATTTATCATACTCTATAGCGGAAGTAAGCGAATCCCCTAAAGCAGGGGTCGGAATTAGCTGCTCGCGAGCCGCATGCAGCTCTTTGCATAGACGTTTGCGGCTCTTCGGAAATAAACTCCAATTTCATCTCACCTCATTTCACCGCGGCCTTATAACTTATGAGTTTATGAGATAGAGCCGCCGAACAAACTTCGACTTGTTCTCTGTCCGCACATGACCACACTCGCGTTGATCGATATGAGTGGTAGCATAAGAGTGGTAGCATTTGAAGCATACAGTATCTATATATATATAACCCATTGAACGTGTGTCCGTCCATCCGTGTAACGTTATGCCGAAAACGGCCACTAGAGGCGCCTCTGTCGTGTGTCGTATTTCGCACATTTAAATTAATATGCGGCTCTCTGGTACTTTTGTTATCCTGTTTTCATGACAATTTGGCTCTTCTCACTTGACAAACTGCCGACCCCTACCCTAAAGTAACCAAACTTCCTGAAAAACCCAAGAACTTAAAATCGCATGGAAAACAAATACAAAATTAAATCTGCACCATCACACCCCAAGATATCTGTCATGGTAGAGACTGCAATTAATAATCTGAAAGAGACGTGGATCAACTTTTCCTGCTATCGAAAAATATATTGCTTCCAATTTCAAAGTTGACATGATCCGTTTGACTCCTTTTATCAAGAAATATTTGATAAATTTATTAATTGTATGAGCTCTGTTGTATATAATGATGGGCACTTCTGCAGTTTAGGGGGTGTGCCTGATGGGCACTTGTACAGATTAGGGGTACGGTTGTTTGAAAGGTTTTCTAAATAAAATTAATCGATTCTAGACTAATTTGACTCGAATATTTCCAAAACACGTATAATGTTTTGGGAATAACCCATATAAAATATATGTGTAAAAAAAATTGTCAGAATACTTACCGAGTGTACCCTGTTCGAAGACGCCATTGCTTAAGCTTGTTTCCGTCGCGGAGCGGCACATCGGCGTACGAAGCTGTCACGTGACATTTGTCGGTTCTATTCGGTCACGTGACTACTCATCTCCAACGTGTTTTCTGATCTTATTCTTTTTGCTGAACTTTGGAGACATCACGTGATAGATCATAATATACCATAGTATTTTTATTGTATTAGAAACGACTTACTATTATTATTGACTTCTAGCTGCAAGGACCCGCTTCGCTGGGTCTTTATTTGTTCGTACATTTTATATGTAATATAGTTTTATATATATATATATATACATATTTTCNACGTAAACAACACCTTCAAATAATAAGGTGTTGGTTACGTAATTTATTTATTTTTTTTGCCAACAGTGGGTGAAAAAAAAGTTGTCTGCTACAGATCATTGAAGGATCACATACATAGTTCTATTTCTTTTTTTGTTTTCTGTTTTGCTTTTTTGATAGTTTCCAATTGAATTTTGTTAATGAACAACATATACAGGCGTTTTGTAATCATTTATTGTATTTGTGTAAATTGTGCAAGTGTGTGTCTATAAAAACCAAAGAGTGATTAATTTTTCAGACATTACAGCTAATTAACTTTCAACTTCCAGTTTAAAACATAAAGTTAGCAGAGTTTTATTATTAAGCTTTATTAAGGTTAAAATATAACAGATGAATATAAACAATATTTTATTTTATTAATGAAAATATTAATTTCTTTCTCCTTATTGATAGCCTACTTTGTAAAATATACATTCTGTAGTATGCATGGCTGTTTAATTCAAATTTTCCAACAGAGGATAAATATCTGTTCTGGTTATCAGTATATGTGCAGAATATCCTAGGTGCAGACTTAGTGGGACTGGAGTATAGTCACATATATAATTTTTATGTAAAATAATGAAATCCAAGCATAATTTTATTAAAAATATAAGCAAAATTATATTTCAGCGAAAAATTTATTAAAATTAACAATGTTTATACGAAAAAGCATGATAAAAAATTAAATTATATGAAATAAAAATTCAAACCTCTTCAAGCAATTCTTCTTTACATATTGTACGAATTTCAGAGCACTAAAACAAAAAATTGTTCAATATAAATAGAATAAAAAATTGCATGAAATTTAAAAATACAAAAGTGAGTAAAATCTAAATTCAATCAAAAATGTATATTTTGTTTTTATGTGTATATGTTTACTTTGAAAATATTTCATATAAATATTTATATCTTATTTTTTAATAACTAATTAAATCCAGGACAGATCCTAGGGAAATTACAGGGGATTAAGCCCTCCCCAATGACATAAAAAAAAACAATTAAAATTTGTTTAAACTCAAATTTTTAAAAAACAATATTTTGATAATGGCAAATATGGTTTATTGAATAATCCATAGTACAATCATCATGTGCTGTACATGTTAATATAAGGTCCTTATTAATTATTTAAACATTTTTAATTGAGTTAGCCCCCCTTTGGGATCCATTACTGATAAAATTTTCAAATTGTGTAAATCCTAATACCACAACAAAAACAATAAATACGAAAAAAAATTTGCATCTTTACATAGCTAAACTATTTATTTAACCAGAAATATTTTCAGCCTAAGACAAGTCAAAAATGTTCCAAATTTAAACATTTAAATATTTAATAGTGAAAATTATCATGTAGGGGAAGGTGAGCAAGATGAGAATGTTAAGGTTTGAAAAGTCATAAGATGGCAACCACTTTGATGAGAACAATAATTTTTTTATTCTCAGCAACGACAACATTTGATAATCTAAAATACAAAATTTAATTTTTGAAAAACGTTTTTAAAAACAAGAAAATTTAATATTTTAAAATTATATGTAAATGCACCATCTTGCCCCACCCATGGGGTAAGATGCGCATCGCCATTTGCATAAAAAATTATAGTGAAAATCTAATACACTGTATATAAAAAATAAACATCGAAAATGCCACATAGCCAATCAGAATCAGAGTTTCGTCTACGACATGTGATCTACATTTTGTCAATCGTACAAGTCTAACATTGCTCTTCAGTGGCGTAGCGAACATAACTGGGCCCGGGGCACGACACTTTATTGGCGGCCCCTTCTCCTCCCCCTCTAGAAACAAATCTTATTTGTCTTGGAGACCATTTGGCACCCCTCTGCGAGTGGCGTCCCTTGCCCCTCGCTACGCTAGTGTTGCACTTCAGCAAACCGGAAGAGTTGCCGTTATTTGTACACGTTTCGAAGATTTAATCGATTATTTCGAGTACTTACAGCACGTTTTAATTTAAAAGTTTGTCGTAAATCTGCATATATTTTAAGAATACAGTAGAGCGTCGATTATCCGAATCAATTGGGGACTGGGGTTGTTCGGAAGATCGATGTTTCGGATAACCGATTATGCACGAAAAAATACATTATTTATCCCATCTTGACATTTTTCTCCGTTGCGTGTCGCTTCGCGTTGAATTTTTGTCGATTTTAAGCCTAACGAAGACTATTGTATCGTTAAAAATTATTTTTTTATTTTGTACAAACAAANGTAATTTGCCTTGCGATTTCTTTTGCTCTGCTTCTTGGTATTATAACGAGACCAAGGGGAAGCGGTGACTGTACCTTCACGAGGTCCTGCCTGCGAGTAACCCCTAGAGGGTGAAACCAAACAGTCTACTGCGCCAGTTTAACACGTTAAAGAGTCCTTTTAAGGACTATGGCTAAGAGGCACAAAGCCTCTGAGACCGATGACGAGGTGTCGTCGCAGGAGATGGAGGTCTCTCTGCAGGACGAAAAAGTCTTGCTTGCAGAGAGCATCAGGGATGAAGTTGAAGAATATACAACATGTGGAATTGGTGTTATTTCTATGGGGAGACTCGAGTAAAAACTGAATGAGTAGGCCTACTTGTAGTGGTGTAATCAGTGACCGTTTCTACACCCAGATTAGGCATACCTCCGAATTCATGGTTTTGGTTGTTCTAAAACATTAATCCTGGTATGTCCTGCTGCTGAAAGGGCCTGTTTGTTGTCTCTGCAGCAATAAAGTCTGCAGCCGAAAATACTTCTAGATTCATTGGCCATATTCATAGTCAACCTGGGGCAAGATGGAGTACCCCATCTTGCCCCAACGTGCACTTTTCATACTGACTGCAAACACAGGTCAACTTTATTTCAAAACTAGACAATTACAGTCTTAAAGGTTACTTCGAATATTATAATATCTTCATCTAAAAGATAATATAAAAGTTTACAATGATACTTTCTTTGTAAAAACTTTTCAGGAGGTGTAAAATTAGATGAAGTATTGTTGAAACATGAAAAACATTCTTACTTCCAAACAAAGAGAATGATTCAGACGTTCTCTAATCTCATGATCCCTTTTGAGGTTGACATTTAATTCCCCAAATAACAGCTAGATGAAAGCACGTTAACCATGAATAAATAGACGTCCCCGTCTTACCATGGGGTCTTTTCAAAATAGGATTATTTTTAAAATAGTTTCCCCTATTTTAAAAATAAATTAATTTTAAACATTTATTGTAATTTAATATTAAATGACTTCAAAAAAATATCAAGAATTTCATTGGCTTTAAGCTATATTAAATTTATTTAATTATAATATAACTGAAATATTTTAATGTTTACTCTTTTAATTCTTAAAAGTATGTTTTATTTTCATTTTAAATGCTTTCAAATGTAATAAATTATCACAGAATTAAGAGAAATTACTGGAGTCAATGACTACATAACTTAACAATTTTAGAACTTTTTGCATAGCATAGACTAAGTTAACTTTTTTATTCGTGGGTGCTAATTTCAAATATGACCATAATATTCAGCATATACAGTTTTTTATCATATTATATTACTTAAAAATAAGAAGACAAAAAAAATTTTGTGATTATATGCAAATGATTATAAACATTTGTGGTAATAAATATTTGTTTTTTTCACCACATTCTGATTAGATTTTTATAGATACAATATTCAATTTACAATAATATAGTGTAAATTTTTAAAAGTCATTATTAAATGTGTTTATATTTTAAAACACAATAATAATAATCTATACTATTATTATAAAGAGGTAAAGTTTGTAAGTTTTGATGTAGGAGGTAATCTCCAAAACTACTCATCCGATTTCAAAAATTCTTTCACCAATATTTAGAATGGAACTTCAGGGTGGACATAGGCTGTATATTATTCCATTAAACATTCATATAAATTAAAAGATATCATCTAGGATTAAGGCTTTTATGTCCAACAGATGGCACTAACTCTGCGAGTATGACAACCTAAGTTTACTTTTCTGTGAGGCATTATGCTTTTCTGTAAGGATGAACTAAAGCAGATCATCATCTATCTATCTATATAAATAAAAATGTAATGTTTGTTTGTTTCTGCCGATTCCTTTGAAATTTTGACACAACATTGCATTCGAATATGCATGTGTTTTTATATCATATACATGTTGAAATTCCCCCCACCAGGGGAAGAGATGGACAGGATTAAGGCTTACCGTGAAGAACTTGGCTTCTATTATACTATTTTAGATGCGGGTTTTTGCGTTTTAATAGGGTACATCAAGAGAATGTACACTAAAAAGGAATTTTTCGAAAAATTTCCCCATGGGGGAAGTGCTATACATTTATAATAGATACATTTTAAGCCACAACAATGCAGGGCGGGGTCTGCTAGTAATAAATATAATTAAAATAAGACAACTACTTACTGTGTCTTTGGCAAATCTTAATAACTGATCTGTCAATTGTAATGAAGGCATAGTTGCATTAAGACACCAATGAATAATATATTCTTTGTCCTAAAAAGAAAAGAAAAAAACAGTGAATTTTTTCATTCTTTAAAATTATTTCTATTATCATAAATATTTTTAAAAACACAATTTTCCTACCTTTATCTGTTGCAGAGTTTTTTTAATGTTTATAAATATCTCTTCAGCATTACCATCATCACATTCTGATTTCCAAGGAGAAACATTATCCAAATAATGTGCTAATCTTGCTTTATGAACTTCCTATTTAAAAAGACTCACTTTAAATTTCAGAGGTCAATATTAATGATAATAATTCTATGCATCTGTAAATATGCATCCACACACACAGCTAAATCACCTATTCAAAATCCACACACCCTCCTATTAAATCCCTTACTTCATTGACATATAAATGCAATTTGACTTAGACAATGTAGACCATTTCACACAAAAAAGAAATCCTGAAGAAGGAAGTTTTTAGATTTGGAAACGGACACATCATTAAATTCATGCATAAAAAGCAAGTCTACAAATATTTAGGTTTCCAAATATGCCAAACTCACAAAGCATGCACAAATCAAACAGACTAACAAAATAATCCAACAATAGATTAAATAAATTCAATACTAACAAACACAGTTGAATGCAAAACAGATATTTAAAGCAATCATTACACATGAATATATGAATTCCATGTTGTACATATCACTTAGATTTTACAAATACGTGATCTGTTCACAGCTCGGCAGATGTATTTATAAAATATAAGTGACTCGTACAACATGGAATTTATATAAAATGGAAAAATCAACAGTGTTATAGGGGGTTCGACTGTACTTTTCCAGCAAAAACAAATGTTTTTGACCCTGTTCAGAGATCTGCCTCAGGTTAAAAATGTATACAGTACAACTTACAGAAAAAAAGAAACTGAGTTCTAACAGCTTATTTCAAATTTACAACATCCAAAAACTAATGATCTATATATTTCAAAATTTGACAAACAAATAATTTACATATTAAAATGAAAGCAAAAATAAACACACAAATTAAAAATAAAATAAATTACATGTTATTAACAAACATTAAGTCTAGCCTATGTCATTCTCTTGCCTCATCAGGTTATCAAGTAGAGACTGCCAAGCTGTGGCTAACATTTCCTTCTCCATGAAATTAATGCACACACCCTTTCTAGTAGCTAGAAAAATTTCACATGTTTCCATTGATTTTACTTTGTTGATATCAAACACTTTTTAAAATAATTTAGCCTGGTCCCAACATGATGACACTCCCTACTCGCTAGCAAATTGGGAAAGTGCTATGGATAGACTAATTGTATCAACTTTGTATTTATGTTCCTTCAGCTTTTGGATTAACAATTTTTTAGTGGCATGTATATATGTTAACTTTCTACCAAATCTTTCATCCCACACTGGTATCATGTATACTCCTGGAGTTAAGTTTTGATCTATATAATCCTTACCATAAGCCTTGGGTCATAGTCTACTGCTATAAGTTTTTGAGGTAAAGCCTCTGAACACTGCATATCATTACTAAGCTGCAACATATTAATGCTGTTCTCTATGTTTTTAGCTAACCTAGCAATCAGATTTTTGCTATAGCCATGAGCTTTCACTAATTTTTTAATCAGACCTATCTTTTTCACTGTGTCCATAATATTAGAGCTATTAGAGCCCGTATGTATGCCCTTTATTCAAGTGTTTTAAACATCTTTAAATAGGGATGCAGATCACTAGAATTGAAAGGGACAGAAAAGGAAGGGCTGCTCAGTTTTTGATAAACCTGCATAACATGCCCTTCATACAAAATGATATTGATGACTTTTTTTGACGTGAATACATCTTTAAATTTGCTTCTATAGTGGGAGGCAATTCAGAAAACTGATGATAACAAAATCAGAGGATGCAGTTTGGCATTGCAGCTACATATCTATCATCTACATCCAAAATTTAATTACACCATTCAATAGTTAAAGGATCAAAGAATTCATTACATTGAGTGGGGACTGTGATGCATCTCGCACAGCGGAGGGGGAAGCGCTGCCATTTTGAGGTCATTTCGCTGCGTCACATACTTTCTGTTTAGTATTTTTTACATTTTGACTCAGAGAAGCTACAATGCTCATTTCAGTTTCAATTTACAGCTCTCATCAATATTTATCAATTGTGCACACAAAACATTAGTGTGGAATAGTTATGGTGAATATCTATGTGTTAAAGTTAAAAATTAAGAAAACTTAATGCAATGTCAGCCTATACTCGTCGAAAAGCCAAATCAAAATATAGAAATCATATATGGTTGGAAAGGGCTTCTCAAGAGCAATCCAGTGATACCCATAAAACACCATATAATAGATTGAAGCAATGCTGGGAATGTAAAAAAACACGGAGATCTGAAGGACTTCTTACTGTTAAGGAATGATTATGACATACATATAATATGCTCAAAGAAAATATTACAGTAGAACCCCTCTAATCCGTCACCTTTGGGACTGGGGGTATGGTCGGAACGCAAAAAAGGTCGGATTATCAGAAAAAAGTAAAATAAACAATCTTCCCCTTTGTCTAGTCTTTGTAGCACTGCTAATTTTTCATTTAATGAAAGAGTAACGTGTTTACGTTTCACTCCTGACATGTTGAAAATACACACAAAACTGTACATGTACACACAATTTAGAACATATACTGTAACGAACACAGAAAAACGCCACGGATGGTGAGTCACCGACGAGTCGAAACAAGTTTCTCGACTCCGACCACGGTCGGATTAACCGGAGTGACGGATTAGCCGAGGGCGGACTAGAGGGGTTCTACTGTACACGTATTCACATAAAACGAACAGCTGTGTCCCTGACACAGCCACACCCCACTTTTTAAATCTGAGGCATAACTCTGAACTGGGGTCAAAAACATTGTTTTAATTCAAATATTGCTGGAAAGGTACAGAAGTTAATGGTATATTGATTTGCAATTTTCTGCAAGTTGTTTTTCTATTCACACTTCATTTGGAATTATACATTGGACACATACAGAACTAGAATGACTCCAAAGAAAACATGAACAATATTAACAAAACAAACATCACCATAAGTCATCTATAAAAACGCTAACTCTTTCTCATAAGGAGAAACAAGATATAATGAATCACCACTACACTACAAAAGTTTTTCTACAGAAAACAAGAAATATCATAATTACACAAGACTGCGGATTTCTGCAAGATTACTCTTTTGCAGAAAAAAAAACCACCATTAAACTTACACAACACTGACCTAGATCAAACACAATACATAAAATGCAAATGCACCATCGGGTAATCCTGGGCTCAGAAGGAGCTCCACAGTAGACATTCCAATGATCTCAGCCATGATCAATTTGACATTAGTATGTCAACTGCTGGCTTACTCATGGATGCCACTTTGGAGAGATGGAAGAGTTCATAATTACTATACAAAACTAGACAAATACAAGAAACTACAGAGTATATTCAAAAGACAATATTTACAAAGAATACATCATGCATGAAACTATACAAAACATCATATCAGGTTACAAGCTTTTAACAGAAACAGACTACTTACACCATTATAGCCAAAAAACAAATCTAATACACCAAAGGCTTGCACAAACTACTATATACCTAGAAACTATACTACAAATACACATCTCAAATAGTCATAGAAAAGAACACACCCAAAATATGCTATAATTGAGCTATCTGTAATCACAGATAAAACAATCCATCACAACAGATCAGACATCACATTCATTGACAAATAAAACAAAATCATATATATCATAGACATAGCTGTATGAAGTACCCACAACATACAAACTACAAAAAAATGAACAAATTAGTAAATGCTCAGAACTCACCCATGAAATTAAGCATCTGTGGAGAATGGACAGGTTAAAGGTTTTTACAAGTATAAATTATAATATATTTTTATGCAGACTAGACATCATGTTCATTGACNTAATCTAAGTATTTAATAAATTTATTATAGTCAAATTTCTTTCATATTCTTCTAAGTATGCAGAAATCATGATTTTGGAAATAATGTATCAATTAATTTAATAAACATACATTCAAAAATTATCTTTTGTATTTAATATAACAAATTTAATATATTTGTATGAAATCAGTATTTTATTTTATGCTGCAGTAAAAAATTATTAAAATATTGTCACATATATGAATGGTGAACTGCAATAACAAGTCTTTGGTAAACACAAAGTGAGCTGTGGCATTATATACAGTAGAGCATCGATTATCTGAAATCATGATTTTGGAAATAATGTATCAATTAATTTAATAAACATACATTCAAAAATTATCTTTTGTATTTAATATAACAAATTTAATATATTTGTATGAAATCAGTATTTTATTTTATGCTGCAGTAAAAAATTATTAAAATATTGTCACATATATGAATGGTGAACTGCAATAACAAGTCTTTGGTAAACACAAAGTGAGCTGTGGCATTATATACAGTAGAGCATCGATTATCTGAATCAATTGGGGACTGGGGTTGTTCGGAAAATCAATATTTCGAATAACCAATTATGTATGAAAAAATATATTTGTAAGGGTCCGAATAATAGGCCTAGCCACATAAAATTTTATTGAACCCCGTACGCGATCTTATCAAAATCTTTAAACGGATGCTCATCCTTTTTCTGCCGGAAACTACTTCCTCCCTCACCGGATTCTCAACCGGAGTTCTGATGACAGTCATCACCGATAAGTACGATTGGTAATTGTAGTCATGTGATCCCTAATATAAAAAGGGGGTTGCCATCCGAAACGGGGTCGGAGAAGTCTCTCAACGAGCTACCCCGATCACCTCTCAATCAACCCAACCCAGATCGTCATCTGTATCGCTGACAGAACCCGATCCGAACGCAGATCGCCGCACCAGGTTGAACGACGAATACAAAATTGAACTCGTCCAGAGGTATGATCGCTGACCATGTAAACTCTCTCTCGGTACTACGCGAAAGAATATAATTAGAATAGCGTATCCAGAGTTCTGTATGTATTTTAGTCTAAATGTATTATTAAATGTTCGTTTTCCTTGCATTTTGGTGTTGTCTATCCGAGTAACGCCTAAGCCAAACTGACGACCCTCTCACCTCCTTTAACGCTCTTAGAAAATGCGTCCCGTTGTTACGGGGTAATAACCTTGAACGGCTATCTCCTGACTCGTGAGCGTTGTCGGACTAACAGAAGTAATTACTCGAGTCCGATATCTCACATATTAACCTATCCCATGTTGAAATTTTTCTCCGTCGTGTGTCGCTTCGCGTTGAATTTTCGTCAATGTTAAGCCTAACGAAGACTATTGTATCATTAAAAATTATTTTTTTATTTTGTACAAACAAAATAAATATATTGACAAATATAAAAACAATAAAAAATTATACTTCAGAAGTTAATTTAGTATCAAAAGTGTAAAATATTTTAGTATATATATTTATATATATAGCCAAAGATTGCAGCGCCACAGCACTGGTGAAAATTTAAATTTGCCGACTGGAATTCTTTCGAATAATCGACGCTCTACTGCATATACTATTTCACTACTTGACATATTTGGCTACACGCCATATGTAATCATATATTTCGTATATAATTGTGTTATTTTATCTTGTATATTTCCCGCTTCACCTCTGTCTGTCCTATTTGTTTACCCTTCCTGGAATGTTCTCGTTTTTCTTTTCCTTGACTTGGGTATGCGGTTGGGCTAACTCGAGAAGCAACGAAAGGAATGTAGCTCTGAGGGAAGGGAGCGATCGGGAGACTCGGAGGGGAGAACTGGAGACGGAGAAAAGGAAGTGAGACGGGTAGGAAGGAAGGGGGGGGGAGAGAGCTAAAAGAGGAGTCTCCCCGGCAAGTTTAGTGTGTGAGGGTGAAAAGAGAGAACTTTGGAACGTGGAGAGCGACAAGACGTCTCCCCGGAAGGTTTTGCATCGTATTGTGAAAAGGAGACCTGTGGAACGTATAAGAAAAAGGAACTCAACCGAAGGGAGCCAGAAGGATCATCCCTTTGGATTAACATCTCTACGTGAAACAAGAAACGGAGCTTACCAGTCCCCCGATCAATGAGAAACCGCATCCATCAAGTTTTGGGTACCCTCTTTCCTTATTCTTTACTTTCATCTTCTAAATCTTTGAGTAAGCCGGCTATATATATATATTAAGTTTAAGTAGTAATAGAATTATAGTATTAATTAAGATAGTTTTAAGTGAGCGGATAAGGAACGACGCGCGTGCAATCTTTGTCGGGTTAATAAATTATGTGGAGTATCCGTGGGATTAGCATAGTGGTATCCTGAGAACCTGTATCCTAAAAAGCGAGTAAATAAAAATTTATTGTGTTTCATTCATCTAATCTGGATTGTGCATTTTTATCTTGCTCGCTGCTCTCACACATATTATGCATGATTTCATTCAGCATTAATGTACAAATCTTTAGATTAGAAAAATTAATTATATATAATTGTAAGTGTGTTAAAACTGAGTTTTACAATAAAAACATCTTTCGTAATCAAATATTTTAGCTAAATTCATAAAAATGAAACAATTCTTAAGTATTTGGAAAAGTTATTCTATATCTTACTGCTATTCAAATTTATCAAATAATTTTTAAGTACTGTATTGTACAAAATTATTTTCCAGTAACTAAATTGGCTAGGTAACAAAGTATTGTATTAGTTATACAATTACAGTAGAGTCTCTGTAATCTGATATATACTGGATTAATGGGTGTTGGATTACAACAGATAGTTGAATTACTGGATTATGTATGTACTGTCCAGCTATGTGAAGGAAAGCAGTGGATGTTACTGCCAATGGGCTGAAAAGACCTAGTCCATTAGGAAAATAGGGTAGTTCATTTAAAGAATGAGTTTGTTTTCATCAGTAAAATAATTCAAAAATAAAATAGAATTTAATTAATAGTTACTGTATTGACAATTTACTCTTTAGAATCTATGTCTATTAATTAATTTGTTGAAATTATGTTTATAATTTCTCAGTGGTATGAACTCCTTCCACTTTCCTCTCCAGCATGGAAATAAACAGTTCCCAGAAATTTGCCAAGTGTTGTTTTGCTATCTGTAGTAGGACAGTATGTATGTATATATGTATGTATGTAATATACAGTAAAAAAACCATTTGATTCATAAATTAGGTGATTAAATTAATCACGATTATGACTGTTTTGCTGACTGCACATGTAACAACCAACTAGTAACTGACAGTATACATACATCAATTAGTAACACTAAAATTTCACATGCACTGGCCTGCAGGGGCGTGTCAGATTTCTGAATATGTCAGACTGGTGAATGATGAACTATAGAAACTCTACTGTATTTGTATTGTATAGTTTATAAAGTTATTTATAAATTAAAATTAATATATTAACCTTCTTTCTGGTAATGTATCTTCAATACTTTTTACCCTTAACTGTGAAATATGTTCTTCACCACTATAAAATATTTAAATTGTTTAGAATAAAGTAAGGAATAAATGTAAGAAACTACAAGTTAGAAATGAATAATTTAATTCTAAATGCATCACAATTATATTCATAAGTATAAAATTATTCATTAAATTTAACAAGAATTTCTTTAAAGTATGTTAAGAAAAAAATTAAATGATAAAATTTCTATAAAATTAAGATATCCAATTTGTTATATCCTCATTAATTGAAATTAAACACATCAGCTTACATTTCATTTTTCTTCAATCCATCAACAACATAAATGGAATCCTGAAAAAATAGTAACAAATTACTAAGAAACAAAACTGCTTAAATAGTAAATTTAAATGCTTATTTTAACTTTTAACATGTCTTCAAAAAAATAAAAATTGTGTTAGCAATAATATGCTATTTAAATTTATTAAATTCATTCCAAATAATATATATGCTATTTGGAATAAATCTGAATACTGTATTTTTGCAAAATGACTGGCATGCATGCAGCATAAAAATGGGGGAGACCAACATGCCAGTTAAACTGCAACTAATATATAAAATTAATCAGATTTAACAAAATTAATTGTTAATTACACATTAAAGAAAACATTCTTCTGAGTACAATAAAGTAATAACATTGTAATTTGACTGACTTAAAATCAGAAAGAAAGTTTTCATTTACAAGACAATAAAACAATTAATAACTTATTGACAAAGTAGTAGTAGTAGTAAGTCAGTGTGGACTACACTGACCATCTATCATGACCTTAAAATTAACACCTTTCTCTCAAATTTCACAAAGCCCATGTTAATTGGTGTCAGCTAAGATAATTTACNAATCGAAGGTTCGGATAATGGAGGTTCTACTGTAGTTAGAAAAAAGACAAAATGAAGAAATCAAACATATAATCATAGTTTTTGATGTAATGCTGACAGTTTCACAGTTTTGGAATAAAAACTCATTAGTTTTTATGTGACATAACTTGTTTGTTTTTTTAATGCACTCTCTAGAGAGGGATGTATAACCTCATTTAAACTGGCATGCTGGCTTTACCATACAGAAATATCTGATTTCATGGTCTCCCACAAATAGTCCAGCATGCCAGTCATTCTGTGCAAATATGGTATATTTATATTAATCTATTTCTTGTTTGTGTAATTATACAAATTTACTGAATTGTTATTCAATTACAATAATTATTAAAAATTTTTCATAATTAATAAAAATGAAACAAATTATATATGAAACATGGACTAGAATTTAATACAATATCAGTAAAGTATAGAATAAACTATATAGCACTAGCATCTTTTAATAAAAATTTATTATAAATTTGAAACTTTTTTGGAAACATATTACAAATGAGTATTAAATTTATTTTCATTTGATATATTTGTTAATCAATAAGAAATATTTTATATTTATTCATTAAAAATTTAGATAAAGATATATATCAATATTATTATTTACATAAATGTAAATGAAAACTCTCTTCCTGATTTTAAGTCAAAAATTAAAATTTATTAAAATAAAAAAATATATATACAGTGGTGCCTCGTATAACGTACGCCTCGAATAACGGACGCTGCGAATAACGGACTTTCTGTTTGACCGTCACGTGACTCGAGCAACGGACTTGCTGCGAACAACGTACTTTCCGTTCGGCAGTTACGTGAGACGAACAATGGACTTTCTTCGAACAAGTGCGAATGATGTTTCCCCTCTTTTGCCGTTGCCAATGACAATCTGCTATTTTTAGGATATATTAGTATTATTAGAATGTATTATTAGTATATCTGAAGTAGAAATGTAATGTAATATATGTTGATGATTTAAATAAACATTAAATGTAATGTAATATATGTTGACGATTCAAATAAACGAAATGTAATTGTGTAGATGCCGAGGTGGCGGGACGAAAAGAGGTTGTAAAAAACAAACGGAGCGAGAGTAGCTCGTAGAAGTGTTTAGTGATCTTAATTAATAAAGAATTATTCGTATCATATAATCTGGCAAGTTAAGTCATTTATAATGCATCATGGCTTCTAAAAAAACAGAAAGGTGATTTCAATTGAAACAAAGCAAGAAATCATCAGGAGTGAAAGTTGACAAAAACTTTCTTGTCGAATGGGGAGAGGTTCAGGAGTTTACCAACACTCATTATCCAAACAGAGCTGAGGCCAACAGGATCAATGATCTCTACGATGACACCTTTGTCCGTCATTTCCGACAGGTGTTAAAGAAGAAAGAGAAACAGACCACCTTGGTCATGTTTTTCAAGAAGCCAGCGGGCAAAAAACAAAGGATGGAACAAGAGAAGTTGACCCTGCAAGTTCCGGTAGCCTCTCCTGAATCTGACTCCGATTAAAAAACAATAAAAAAAGACCCGCTGCAATGTGTAAAAAGTCTGTATCTGTATGAATGTGTAAAGAAAGTGTTCTTCCACCTCCTCCTCACAACATCTGACTACCCGGCATAATTGGTGTCTGCTCCATTTTCATTTTTTATGGTACAGTACGGTTATTTTATGCTGCGGAACGAATTATATGTTTTAACATGTATTTCTATGGGAAAATGCGTTTCGTATAACGGACGTTTCACTTAACGGACGTGCACCTGGAACGGATTAAGTACATTGTACGAGGCACCACTGTATATATATATATTTTTTTTTAATTTTGTTATAAACATACAGTACTATTTGTCAACTCACTCAACTTTTCCTCCAGTTAAAAATCAAATCGAATAGTACTAAGAATTTTATACAATGCCATACAAAAATTAAAATATATAATTCTCTTTATTTATTTAATCACCATATTCCATACATTTCTAAATTCAACATTTATATCACCGGCGAGTTCTCCACTGAACAATCTGATGTCATGTTTTGTAGAAAAAAAAAAAACATTTGTGTTAGAAGGGCACTTTTCATGATGGCCAACTTAATTAAGAAAAAGGTGACAATTATGGCTGTTTTGTTAAATAATTAAAGTAACCCTTAAATAAACCCTTATCTGTATCATTTTCTTCTATACTGAGTCTTTCTTCAGTAATTTGAATTTCTTAAATATTTATATCATTAGGATGATGTAAATAGAGTCAAATATCAGTTCTAATCAAAATTTGGATCAATTCATGAAGGTAGTTTTTCTGAAAAAAATGCTTAATATTTCAATATTGACCAAATTATCCAACATAATCGTGCAATCACATGTTTTATTATATACAATAGCAGACATTAATATGTCTGCTATTACAGTACCCACAGCAAGAGTGAATTGATAGCTTCTATAAGCAAAATTTATTTGTTTCATGGAAGCCATCATGTTAATTTGTTGAATATTCAACAGTCTTTCAGGTCATTGAACACAATGGTTAACCAACACTGATGATACAGGCTTCAACTGATAATTCAACAGTCCATTTAGAAACGTCGTTTTCTCATTGTTGAGCCAATTGTTGAATATAGAAATGTATCCACTATCAATATACTGCTAACAAAAATGGAAACAAATTTAATTAAATTATTTTAAAATATAATAATACAATATCACACAAGTTACATATTAGATGCAAATTAATAAAGTTATAATAAATACCTGATTGGATGGCATAGTAACTAAAATAGCATAATCATTTAGATGTAAATTATAAGTAACATCTAAAGATGGAAACAGACAAATTTGAAACCACCAACTGGATTCAGAGAATTTTAGTACTGCTATCTTACTATCCATTCTGAAAATATATTGATAATATATATGATTCTAAAATTTAATAACAATAATCAATAACAATATTAATAATCATATTTTAATGTTCATATTAAAGCAAGCTTTACATGAATAATGAAAATAAACATGCATAAAACATTAGTTTTTAAATATCCAAGAAATTTAAAATAATGTAAAAAATAAATACAGTTTATTAAATATTTTTAAAATGTGATACAGACTATAGTTTTGGAAAAATAAAACTAATATTATTAAAATTATTTTAGTTTCTCCAATTTCTTGAAATCAATTAAAATGTTACATAGTATAAGATTTCAAAAAAGTAGTCAACAAAAAAGTATTTCAACACACATCAAAAGTAGGAGATATGAAATTATATATATGAAAACTTATTGTAACAATTAATTTAAATGATAGAAATTGAATAACACAGGGTGTCTACAATAAAATATCCTGACTTTGGATGCTTATAACAATTCTGCAAATGAAATAATTTCAGGCCAGTGGTGTATATGTTATGCAGCAGTTATTATTATTATCTTATTTTTTTTACAATGTGTTTCTGTCACTAGGAGGTGTGCTGTTAGTTGCTTCTGCAAAAATGATATCACTACTGAAGAAGGCTCAGATTGTCATGTTGTTTGCTGAGTTTAAATTCATTGTTGCAGTGCAAATGAATTTTTGCCATGTTAATGAGAAAGCAGTAGATGCCAGAAATTAAGACTGCAAGTATTGTAGTCTTAATTTTTTTTGTGCTGTGCTTTTTAATTTAATGTAATTTTCCCCCCATAAAATTAAAAGTTGGTGTTGTCATTTATTTCATCTATATACGTCAATCAAGAATTTCCGTACTAACTAAGACTAAGGACATAAGAAATCAGTAAATTTGTATTATTTTCTAATATTTCATACATAAGCTTATCATTGAAATATCAGGAAAGATTATTAGGTTATGTGCAACTTTACAAAAACAATGTGCGTTTTTGTATTACATAAAAAATTTTCAAGGTTTTATTCAATAATAATTATAATCTAAGTAACAAGTAATTTAAAAATTCTATTTTGCAACTGATGTGTAGTTACCTGAACTATTCTTTCTGATTCTTATTTAATTTAGTGTTGTATATATAATAAATGGTGATAATGTAGTTTTAATTTTAATTCTTTCTGAATTACAGTTAGATCATTGGCATATGACTTACAATAATTTAACAGATACCGATTTGAAAAATAATATTCAAGATTTAGTGACATTTGTAAAATTATATTTTCAAAACTTTTTTTTTTCTCCTTATAGTTTATTGTATATCCTTGATTATAAAGTAACCTTCTTATCATTTTTATTTGTTCAAAATTGTGATGCATGTTACAATTCCAACTTCAGACTTTAAATGTAAGATGCCACTCAAAGTCCAAGACAACAATCAGCAATCTTTGCAGTTAGACCATGTGCACTAATAATAAATATTTTCAGCTATACTTTTTAACATTGATATCAGTTCAAATAAGCTTTTTCTTCCCTATTTGTTTTATATAGAAGAAAAAAAAATTGTAAAATTTGATTTCAAAATCATAATGAATCTTAGGATCATAAAAATACAACAAATGTACAAAATAAAATTAGAAAATTAAATTGAAACAAAAATCATAAAAATATATTAAAATTTTCTTTACATGTTCTTTAAATATTTATTCTTTTTGTTTATTTGAAATCCTACACTTTCATATGATATCAGTCAATTTTTATTTCCTTCCTTCTTTTCACTATAAAAGTGGCTGTTATAACAGAATTTTTAAGAATAAATTCCAGGAAAGTAAAGATAGGGAAATTTTAATCACTCTTTTTATTAAGACCGTAAGTAGAAAATTGAGCCTAAGACTTCTCAAAAGGAAATTATCTTAACCAATAAAAAACAAATAAAACTTCAGTTGTATTCTTCTTGTGTTTAAATTAGTATATACTTATATCTAAATTATTACACAGAACACAATTTTCATTTCTAATTTAATATTGAAAATTGTTATAAATAATATATCAGAATCTAACAACTGATGAAGAGCTAAAGGCCTCATAGTACACAATAAAAAGAGTATTTTTGAAATTAAGATGGAATTGAAGATCATTTAGATTTATACCATCAGACTGTTCATTTGGAAAAGTAATATATTTTAAGCTTCATAATGAAAATATTTCAATTTAAATATTTGTAATGTAGTGGTAACAAAATTTACAACTTTTCACATAATTTAGTTAAAATTTAAAAAGGTACTTACTTTTGGCAATCTTTAAATTCCAATAAAATAAAATCTTCTATATCTGTATTATATTTATTTATGATCAACAATGTAAAAGTGCAAATAATATAAAGATGTTTCTGAAAAATAATTTTTATAAATGGAAGGAATTTTAACTTATATCAATACCATATACCAATTATATTACTAGCTATATTTACACAAAATTATATTTGAATTAAAATATAAATACCCCTAAAAAGATTTTCAAGTTAAAGTGAAAAAGAAAAACAATTATAATAATTTTAATACTGCAGTAAGAAGATCTAAATAGATATTAATTAATTAAATTAAATACAATTAGAGTTTAATGAAACTAATAACACTTTAATAAATTTTTAAAATTTTCAATTTATTCACATTTCATAAGAATAAATAAATAATTTAATAAATTATAAAACACTAATGTATAATTAAAATTATACATTAATTTTGTCATCTTTATATTTGGCTTTTCCATGTAGTAAGATCAAATTTTGTCTAATTATTTAAATAATATCATCAGTTTAGTTTATTAATCAGATATTTTTGGCTTTCTACTTTTAAATTAATATGAGTAATTTTATTTTGAATCATTATAAAATTATTAACAAATTTTTAAGTAACTAATGTTCATTTGTTTAATACACAATTTTATAAATTATAAAAAGCTATTTTTTTAAAAAGTAAATTTAATGAAATGGTATAATTTATGTCTAAATAACAATGACACAACCTTTTCAATTAGCAAATAAACACTAATGCAATAAAAGATAATATTTTTGGCTGTTTTAAAAAGCCATCCTCATGCTAATGTACATTTCTAATCAAGAAAGAATGAGAATTATTATTTAAAACAGCTGAAAACATTAACTTTATTGCATTAAAGTTTGTTTATTTACTGATTGAAAAGGTAATATAACTGTTATTTTAATAACTCAAATTAGTTGGTGGTGTTCTTTCAGCATTTATCTCCAAAAGAACAATAAAATTAAAAATTTGATTCTTCTTCTTTCCAATTTTCCATTTTAAACTTTTAATTTTATAGATATGTATGTCACACCACTAACTTTAAAAAAATAAAATTATAATAATCCTTTGTGGTTAAGTATTTATTTCATTTAGCTTATTAAAGTTATAGTTAAATTTATAGAATTGATTTTTGAAGTATAATATAGGAAAGATTGTTTAATGCAATTTTTGAGTATTGATGGATTCTTGTCAAATCATGTTAAACCTTAAAAAAATTATATAAATTAAGAAGCATCCAAATAACTTCAGTAAATATTAATACAGTAGAGCGCCGTTTATCCGAAAGAATTCCAGTCGGCAAATTTAAATTTTTGCTAGTGCTGTGGCGCTGCAATCTTTAGCTATATCTTTTGCTATTCCAATATTTTTTTTGTTGGTGTGTGTTTTAGCTGGCAGCACTGACACTTTTGTGTGGTGTTTTTCTGAGGACTGTGTGTGGTGCTGAATCAAACGTTTTTGATACTAGATCAACTTCTAAAGTATTTTTATTTTTTATTTTTATATTTTTCAATATATTTATTTTGTTTGTACAAAATAAAGAAATAATTTTTAACGATACAATAGCCACAATTATTTTTTTAAAAAGTTTACATTAGGCTTAACATCGACGAAAATTCAACGCGAAGCGACACGCAACGGTGAAAAATTTCAACACGGGATAATATATTTTTTCGTACATAATCGGTTATCTGAACAACCCCATCCCCAATTAATTAGATTAAATGACACTCTATTATATTAGAAAAAGTTTATTTTCATAAATGTATTGTTATATGAAAGAATTAACAAAGAAAATTGCACTAGTTTCAAAGTTTGTTTATAAGAGTAAAGTTTGAATTCTGTAATAATTTAAATTTAGTTATGACCAAAGATCTGAATTTGATGTTTGTGTATTTTATAAGTAGACACCTATTAATGAAAACATTTCAGACTTATTGTTTTAATCATGTTCATTTATTATGTGTTAGTTCTTCAATAATGCAGATTTTGAATTTTGAAGAAGTTGGATACTGATCTCAGTTCAATTTAAAACAGTTAATATATAAAGACATTTTATCATTTATAAAATAAAAATATTGATATTTATAATCTTTTTATAGTAAAAAAAAATTAGCACATTCAAGGCAAAATAGTTATTTTAAATGAATTAAAAGTTTTTATTTACATCTTATAACTAATCTTTTATTCTTAAGTAAAATAAAATGTTTTTAATTTCACATAAAAATTTAACATTTTCAAAGTTGTAATTAAATTATTTTGCTTTAACAAATTAATTAATTGGACTTTTTTAAAATAAACCCAGAGAGAAACAGAATATATACAAATATAAGCATTATACTATTTGAAGATGGTTACAGCAAGATTTAGAGTAATTCAAATGGCAATGTACAGTACAAGGATTTTTTTTTCAACCTCCACTGACCCAGAATAAAAAACCAAGAATGAAGAACAAAACTACTTTATTTGTAGAAGGTAGTTACAGTCTTGACCTATTTTTTCACATAATTGCCTTGTCAATTCAGGCAGACATCATACTATGACACCAGCCTTTGTATACCAATGTTGAAGAATGTTGCCACCTGGCCATTCAGTCAGCTCAGTGCCATTTGTGAACTACTGGTTTCTAACCACTTTTTCATTTGAGTGAAAAGATGAAAAACACTTGGTGCTAAATCTGGGCTGTATGGTGGATGAGGAAACTGCTCCCATTTGAACCTCTGGAAGAGTTTGAGTCATTTTTGAAGCATAAGGACGAGTGTTATCATAGAAAAGAATCACACCCTTGGACAGCATTCCTCTTCTTTTGTTCTGGATTGCCCATGTGCCATAAATTCAATCATCAAAATGCTTCTTCTGTCCCAGAAACAGTTTCCATCCTTTTGTTGGTGGAAAACAATCATTTGAACTTTTTGGGTTTGTTTGGAGAAAGTGTGCATCCATTGTTTTGACTGCTCCTTTGTCTCAACATTTTTGAACAACACCAACATCTCATCCACCATCATAATCTTGTCCAAGAACATCTCTTCATCCCAATGGTAATGCTGCAGAAACATCAAGGCAGCACCTATCTTTAGTCTTGTGATGGTCTGTAAGTATCTTTGGAACCCATTGTGCACACAATTTGCTGAACAAGCTTATCTGTTACAATGGTATACAGTATGGACCTTAAAATTTGATGAAACTCCTCACTGAGCTCAGAAATCGTAAACCGATGCTTCTCTCACACCAATTGATTCACTTTGTCCACCAAATCATCGGTCATCACACACGTCTTTCTCTTGACTGCCCTCATCATGAACATTGTCACATCCTTGTTTGAATTTCCTGCACCATTCACGTACACATCTGTAGCTCATGAAGTTCTCACCATACAAATTACACATCCTTCAAAGAATTTCACCTCCTTCGGCCCTTCAACCTGTAGAAATCAATTACTGCTTGTATTTCACAGTTGGTGGGAGACTGGATTGATGGTGCCTTGTTTACATGTTTACTGCGCAGTAGCATATGTCTAAAACAGCTTGGTGTGACACTATGCACTAGGGAGCGCAACCTGTCCCTGTCTCACATGCTTTCAATTTTTTTTCATGCATTAGTGGAGGTTGAGAAAAACAAAAAACTCTCATATGTAATATACAAAACTTGTCATTAAAAAAAAATTTATTTAATTAAATTAAAGCAAAAATGATTAATTTGTAGGAAAAATAAAAATGAAGCTATATGAATCCTACTCCATATGATGATATGTTTTGATTCTAAAATTAAATTCAATATATCCTAATATATTTGCAATCACAATTTAACTTAAAGATTTTATTGATTTGATTTTTGAAAAAAGCATTTATCAGAAAATGGAAAGCTAGAACTGATTTTATCTTTTTATATATAAAATATATACATGATAAATAATGCATAAAATACATTATTATATTTTATTAATTATGATAACAAAAATTTTAAATTTTTTACCTTTTCATCCAATACAATAAGATATCTACTATTCTGAGTGCTTTGGATTTTTTTTATTCTTCCTAATTAATAAAATTAAATATATTAAATCATAATATAGAATATATATTTTAATCTTTAAAAAAGTATTTTGATTTATTACAATAGCTTAATCAATTTTTGACAAATCATTTTTATTTATTAAATTTAATTTAACAATAAATTCATACAATGTTTCATAAATCACAATTACTGATAATGTTACAATATCTCATGAGATTCTATGCAGTTTTTTTCCAATATTTTTTAAATCTGAAAGATGTTGAGTGCAAAAATAAATTAAATTTAATTACTGATTATAAAATATATACCTTCGACACACACATCTGGTAGAAAAGAAAGCAACTGATCATTCTGTAAATGTATCCCCAAAACATTATCTCCTGTACCCTAAAAAACAAATAATATTAAAAAAACAATACAGAGTATTATTATTATTATAACTACAACCAAATTTATATATTTTATAAATACACAAACTGACACATGTGGCAGATAAAAAGCTTTCTTTCTAGCAAAATACAATTTCTTGAATAAAATTATACTGATAAATTTTATTGTCAAAATATTACATTGCTATTAGAGTAACCATATACAAAAAAGCACCAAACTTTGGCAAAAAAAAAAAATATATTTAATATTACTTTCATGACCACCCAAAAAAATAAAAAATCATAATCATTGTCCAAAAATATTCACAAGTTTCCACCACTGTCTCCAAGTCAAAATGGCACCACTTCCATTTCATACACTTGCAGACAGCAACAGAATGAATGAATAGTGATAGCTCTCAATGAAAATGCTTAATAAGGATTACTTTATTACAAACTGTATGCAACAGGTGTTACTGTATACCCAATCAGCAATAAATGTTGCTGATTCCTTATCTACAGGGTCTGTACAGATAATTCCATCTGTAATCCCTGACATTCCCTGACCAATAAAGGTCTCTGCATTTCCCCTTTCCATATTATTGTAATATACATATTACAATAATTATGTAATATGTATATATATGTCCAGGTTTATGATTTCTGAGCTCAGTGAGGAGTTTCTTCAAGTCTAAGCCCATTTTGCACACAATTATATAAATTTTTTATTAAAAAACACTTTATTCACTTATAAAAAACTTCGCATAAAATCAATTTTGTAATTAGCAATATCATTTCTACATCATATAATAAATTTCATGATTTAATTTAAATAAATTCATAAATTCTATTTAAATAAGAAAAAGACATGCACTGTAAAATCAAATTTTCTTAAAGTGAGGGGGGGTAAATTCAAAATAATTTAAACATAAGAAATCGCACATTCTGTGAAAGGGAGAAATTGCTTATCACTTGCTATTTTTGGCCCAGCATAGACTCATTCAAAGTCATTACATTTCTTTCAATCCCTTCCTGAAACTTATAATGGAAGTAGCTGAGTTTTGGTAGAAAAGCAGGTCATTGTCCATGGAATTTTTGAAAACCGAAAAATGTGAACTTCCAAAATACCATGGGCCATGTGAAAATAGAATGTTAGAAGTTAGAGAGAAGACATATCACAAATCATCAGTTTATCAAAATTGGCAGGATTATCATCTCCACGTCCTGTATGTGGCCAGCAGCAAAAAATACAACAAATAAAAATACATGAATTGCGTAAGGTCTGCCAAGTGTTCCAAAATGTCCCATACACAATATCATTAAGTTAACTGACAGTTCTTTGCCTCACCCCATACCATCAACTGACTGCAATGCATTAACCAAATGTTGTACAAGTCAAAAATTGGGAGGGTTGTGTACAGGACACAATCGCAATTATTTAAGATGTGAATCTGTCTTTGTGTGATTAGAGGAAGGATAAGATGTAAACAAATAAAGTCTTGGTGGTTATCATATTCCAAATCAATATTGGTTCAAGCAGCAGGGCACTCAAAATAGTCCCGTCAGAGTTGACGCACTTGATTTTCTTACACTCTCTACACAATCTGCATCATTTGGCATTAGTCATTTTAGGCTTTTCTGATTCCTTTTCAATTTTTCTTTCTAATGATACATGTTTCTTACATTTCTGTTCATATTTCCTTTGTAATTTCTTTGACATTATGAAAATTTTCTTCAACTCACACAGTTATCAGCTTATAACTTTACGAATTTTATTTTATTGGTAATTACTGCTAAATAATATTGTAAATCCTGTCATTCTGTACAAATTGACATAAATTTCAACATCCTATCTCTTTGCAATCCAAAATTTCACTACCCAAATGCTGTGCCACCATTTTCACTGTTCACATGCAACCCCTCCCCAAACAGCTGCACACCCTCCATTACCCACCATTTTAAATACAGACATAAACCTTCTATCCAACGAAATTTTAATTGTTAGATCATCATTTATAGTTTACGAGATAAATGGCAATATTTGTTGCACTTATGTTTGATTACTCTAGTTTTTGGACACCCCCTATACTGAACTGAATTTAAAGATGTGTTCGGACCAAAAAGTGAGAGCGACAGACAGGGAATCTGCAAATACCACGGAATCTGACTTTTTCTGATAAAATCTTATTCTCTGACTTTCCAGGTCTGTACAAATCCTGTATCTAAAAACTTTAAGCATGACTCTCAATTTTTTGTGAATAAAAATAATTCCAGGAAATTAATTTATTAAAAAACAAGATAATTATTTAATGTGTTATATAACAGTAAAATATTAAGGCAAAAGCTGATACTTACAAAGACTCCCAAGATAAGTTCAGAATTAGACAAATTTAAAGGAAAACAATGCTTCATGTCAAAATCAGAATGACGCAAAGATAAATCAATAGTTTGTTGAGAAATACTTGAAATTGTCTATAAAATTTAAAACAAAGTGAAAACTATTACATTTAATATTTTCCTTAATTATGTAACAATATAAAATTCATTGAAAACAAAAATTGACATTAAAATTCTATTTTATATTTTAATATGACATTCAATATTGTTGCAGTACCAAATGATCTGCTGAATTATTCATTGGGATATATTATGGTTATTGGGATATATTATGGTTAACTTAATAATCTGGCAGATTGTTTGGCACTACAAGTGAACCTGACTGTTGTATATATTATTACAGTAATCAAATACTTAAATATATGATTGCAATAGAATTAATAATAAACTATAAAATGAGATTTTTGATTTAAAAATAACAAAAAGTATGCAAATATTTAAAATTATAAAATGGCAGTAAATGGCTTTTACTATTTTATTTATTCATTTAATTATTATTATTTATTTTTTCTATTGGAGCTAATGATAAAATAATTTAGTAGGATGAATTCTGATGTAATAACATTTTTAAATGCAGAAGGCAAGTCAAAACTTTTTGTAAAAGCTTATTAAATATTTAGAAACAATACAAATATTTTTTTATATTTCATATAAATAATTTGTATTTTTCCATTTATACTACATTATAAAATCTTTAAAAACTATTTTATTTGAGAAATCAACAAGAAACCACTTTAAAGATCTAGATTTTCTTACCATTTATATTTTCAAAAAAGTACAGTTAGGGCTCATCATTAGGGACAACAAAAAATTCTACATTTATCAATTAAAAAAAATCATAAACTCTATCAAATTTTAAAATGTTAAAGCACACAAACTCTGGTGTAGAATTTACCAAGTATCATTTTCCAGACTGTTTCCTTTTATCTAAAAATATTCATTTGGATCACGTAAAACAAAACCTTTAACTACCAGTATTCATTTAGATGTTTTTAATTCTAAAAGGAATTATTCTTGTTTCATCCCTCTTTCAATTTTCACAATTCTCTCATTTTTTCTAAATTATAGTCCCTCTATAACTCTGTTTCTTCTTGTTATATCTGGAACTATATGCTTCATTCATATGAAAGATTAATTACATTTGAAAATTCATTATAAAAATAATCTTATGCTAGTTGAAAATTTTACTGTGAATTTCTATTTTATTTATAAAATATTACCTTCACAAACTTATAATGGAAGTAGCTGAGTTTTGGTAGAAAAGCAGNTAATTAAATAAAAATAAATGTTTTTGATAATTTTTCATATACTGTTTCAAACTATAAAAGAATATTTGTCTATTCTGAATACTTAAAAGCATTAAAATAATTAAATACTTAAATCAAGCAAGAATAAAAAAATTATTTTGAGAATTAAATCATGAACTATTTAGAGTATCATAGCTCAATAGGTATTGTTTCATGTAATCTTTGGATAATAGTATACTTTCATATGATATACAATAGGTTATGAATCATCATATCCAAAATTCAAATTAATTTTTCTACAAAATGATTCTTTAGTAATATGTTTCAAAGACATATATTTTTATAAGAAATCCTAACAAATTAAATTTTATTGTTACTTTTATTGTATTAACACTTACCCTGCTACCAACATAATATTATGTTTTGTGAAGACTTTGGTAAAAAAACGAAAATCGTAATATTACGTTTTTCTATATACAGTAGAACCTCGAAAACTCGGCCTAATGTGGACCGAAGGGTGGCCGAGTTTGTGAAAATGCCGGGTTATCGGGAATGGGGTTAAAAAAGGATAAGTATGCGTTTTTCCTCAGAAAATACTGTACTGTACTTGTATGTATTGTTTACTTGAGAATATAACAGAGAATAAACTGCCCAAATACCCTTAAACAAAGGAAAAGCACGTCCTTTATGAAGGCATACAGCCTTTACTACATGAAAATGAAAATTAATGAATACACTGTGTACAGTAATTTATCTGATAAGACAGACCTCAGAAAAATACTTTATGAGAGCTTTTATACTTTTATAAAGCTGTCTATAATGAAAATTAATTAACTAAGGATTTTTTTGCCTTGCCAGGGTGTGGCCGAGTTATCCGGAGTGCCGGGTTATCGAGAGCCGAGTTTTCGAGGTTCTACTGTATCAAGTTATTTCCAGCTTTAAAATGTAACATTACGTTCTCAGCAATAAAAATACGATTTATTTGTGTATTTTAGTATGTCTGTTAATTAATAAATAGCGGGCACTATTTTTTCAGAAATTTGAAATATAAGCGAATTTGTACAACCGCGATAATCATCTAATTCAGTTTCGTTGCCATATTTTGCAAGCGAATATTGAGTTGTTTTATTTTTTATATATAAGTTAAGTTTAGATATGACACATTAACATACTAACTTATTTGAATTCATTAATAAAAAATCAACAAATATAGTGCCGATTATATTGATTTATCTGATGAAAATGCCGCGATTATGATTTAGGCCTAACTGAGATCGAAAAAATAGAAATAAGCCATGTAATTTCGTTATTATTTTAAACCTGTATAGTTTATATGATATTACATAATTTATATACTTTTTAGATATTATCAATACAAAAGTTGAATTCCTAAATTTCTGATAGTGCTAATTCTATCTTATGTACGTTTGACAAACCGAATCAATTACAAAAAACAGCTACAGTCAGAAATAAGTCTACTAATAATATTGATACAGTATATCATTATTTTGAATAAATTCATTGATGTACTATATATTTCATACATAAAAATACAAATTTTATAGCTATATTGCAGTTTTTAATTTTTTTCATTTTATCTTTATCTCTAAAACATGTCCAAATAACATTAAAGTATAATACATAAAAACAAAGTGCACACACATCAAAATTGAGTAATGTACAGATAAATGTTCCCAATATCAGATACTGTTTTTACTTTTTATCTAGCTTTAGTCGATCATTTTTTATTTTCAGTAGAAAATATTGTAAAATCACTTAAATCAGTCAGCACACAGGTAAGGAATTAAGTCAACTGGACCAGCAGGATAAGTGAGTAAGTGTTAATGAACCTTGAAATAAAACTTAAGGATAAGTATAAATTAATATTAATTATTTTCTTACCATTTATATTTTCAAAAAAGTACATTGATTTGAAAGTAAGAGTATCATCAATTTGGGATCCTGATATAAGAGGCTGAAAAATAATTTTAAAGAATAAAATTATTTGTTATTTGATCTTAATAATTCTATTAATATGTATATATATATTCATATTAACATATTGACATATAAACATTAACATATACATATTAACACACACACATATATATATATATATTAACATATTGATTTTAATCAAAATAAAATATATATATACACTGCTGGCCATTAAAATTGCAACACCAGGATGGAATGATCATACGAACGTCAAAATCATATGAAAGGAAGAAGAGGTTAGGATATGCAAATGATTAGTATTTCAGTGCATTTAGATGATGCAGGAGGGACAAATGACCTCTGAAGCACTGCATAAAAGAAAAGTTGTACAGTGGATTTCTCATTCAGAAATTGCTTCGTAAGGTCGGGATTTCATTAGAATATTGTGTTATGCCTCGAATAAGAAGAAGAAATGCTTACTAGCAAGTGTTGGAATTCGATAAAGGCAGGATCATTGCCTATCGAGAGTGTGGATTATCGTTCCGTAATATTGCCATCCCGCACTGGTCGAAATCCAACTACTGTCATGCGAATATGGAATTGATGGGTTGCTGAGGGTCTTACTGAACAGCATGCAGGATCTCAATGCTCTCCCATGAACAACGCCTGAGAGGACAGACATATTGTGAGATCGGCTGTGCAAAACCATACAACCACATCACGGACCATTAGTCAGGAAATGAGCTTGTTCGCAGCACATCCAGTATCTGCTTGTATGGTGTGACGATGTTTGCAGTAGCGTGGACTGTCAGCACGGCGACCATTACTTCGGCTTCCCTTCACAATACAGCATAGAGAGAGACAGTAACTCTAGTGCACCCAACGACAAAGCTGAATACAGGAGTGGCAGAATGTCGTCTTTTCAGACGAGTCCCAGTTCTGTGTGCAGCATTCTGATGACCGTATACGTGTCTGGAGGCTCCGAGGAGACCGCTCGTCACCTGCTTGCATTCCATATCGGCATAGGGGCTCTGCACCTGGTATGATGATATGGGCAGCCATTGGGTACACGACACACACATCTCTAGTTTGGATCGATGGTAATTTGAACACAGATCAGTACATTTCTGACATCTTACGTCCAGTGGTTGTGCCCTATCTTCGAGGCTTGTGAAATGCCATCTTCCAACAAGATAATGCAAGACCTCATGTTGCACGTCGTGTTCTGACCTTTCTCAATACTGAGGGTATTCGATTGTTGCCCTGGCCTGCATGGTCTCCAGATCTCTCACCAATTGAAAACATCTGGTCATGGGTTGCTGAGAGACTGGCCTGCCACCCCTTTCCAGCTCATACGGTTGATAAAGCGTGGCATAGACTTGAAGCAGCATGGAATGAGTTGCCCATTTCTGTCATCCAAGCCAAGTTTGACTCCATGCCTACCCGGATAAGGGCTGTTTTAGCTGCCAGGGGTGGCAAATGTGTGTACTAATTTCGCACCCCTGTAAACCCCCAAACTGCTTGCAAATTTAATCATTTTATCTTCATGCCATACTGTTTACATACAATAAATATCTTTTTTTTATTTGCTTTCCTTCTTGGTGTTGCAATTTTAATGGCCAGCAGTGTATATATATATATTTTATTTTGGTTAAAATCAATATGTTAATAGTTGTGGAAATGATAATGTCAATATTTTTTTTACTTGTAAATATAGTATATTACTTCTATAAGTATTAATTTGTGGATTTCCTTAAAAGGATTTCACACAATATTTTTTGTTTGACAATAATGATATTTATTTTATCAGATTTCTAATATACACATACAACTGACTACAATTGACAACAAAAAAATCTGTGCATTTGTATAATTGAAATTCAAGTTCTGAATCTTAGCTCACCCATGTCAAAAATACAAAAGAATAAGCATCAGCCCTTTAATAAGCCCTTTTTTCTACTTTTCATGTTGCTGACCTTGATGCTTCCTTGGTGGTGGTGTCACCTACCACCACAGATTATTGGAAAACAGTAAGTGAACCATCATAAATTGAACTCAGACTTCCCATATCTTAAACCAGTGTTTCTCAATGGGGGCGATATCGCCCCCATGTGGGCGTTTTTCCATGTCAAGGGGGCGATTAGTAACAATTTATATTTTGGGGACGAAAAACAATTTTTTGGGCAATAGAGTAAAACATTATATTAAGAATAATTAGATATTTTATTCGTTATATTGAACAATAATTAAACAAATAACATTATACTAGTCACAATGCGGTACAAATTTGGCGTTAGCCTCGGCCCTCGTCATCGGAATTTTAAAGCAAAGAGGGCGATCTACGTTGAAGGGGGCGACAATTCATTAGAGGTTGAGAAACACTGTCTTAAACTGAGAGTCTATCTCTAGTCTCAATTTTCTAGAACTACAAAAATATGGCATTTTTTGTTTTGATTTATTCATTAAAATTTTATATTATATAAATTTTCTATTATAATTGATAATATCAGAAAATCATAAAATAGAAGTTAAGTGTATTTGTCTAATATAACACTATCCAATTCACAGAACAATTGATTAAAGAACAAACACTAAACAATTTTTAAACTACAACTGCTAAAAATAAAAATTTATAAACAGTAAGAATTACATAAAATTATGAAAATTTTTCAGTGCATTTAAAGTCTTATGTTATGCAAAATTATAATTGAATAATTTAAATCAGTAGTCCTCAAGCTGTGGGGCATGCTTTCTTTGTGGAGCACAAAGAAAAAGTTATTATTGTAATTATAAAAATGTAGTCATTATATCATCAAAAATTCATTTCATTTAGTAATTAAGTTAGGCTCACACTGTCAAACAAATCATTACAAATGAATGAAATTAACACTAATCAAAGTAAAATGTGTTTACATTGTATTATGTGACACAGACTGCTAGAATGCAATTGGTTGAAAAGATTTCTAGTTGTGAAAAGTTGATTGGTCTAATAAACTGAAGTTTGGCAAAAGTTACAATATTTTTAACTCCTAATGAACTGGTTGAACAGTCATCAAAAGTGGACAAACTGGTAGTTGGCTATTTCGTAGTAATTTATATACTAATGTGAACTTAGCTTTAAGTATCTCCATGTGCTATTTTACTTTTGTATCATCAAACGTCTTAAATATGCATTATAATATAATATAAAAAAGATAAATTTCTTTAAAATTAACAATTTAACAGGAAAAAAAACAACAACAAAGTTTTATAATTATAAAAATTTTCATTATCACTTACCACTGAAAGTAATCTTTTCTTAGTTGGAATATAAATCATATGCACTAATCCATTTTGTTCTGCACTTATTAACAAAGGATAATTTTCATGTAAAGCAATTGTATTTATTGATGAATCTTAATTGAAAAAAGATTAACAATAATTAAAATACATAATTTTATCTCAGTATATTCCAATAAAATTTTCATAAACATAAAAAATTAACTACCATAAGTAAGAATGCAGACTAATTTTTTACACTCAACTTCAAATATTACTACTTCAGAATCAATGGCTATGGCAATATGCTGTACTGTTGCACATGATATGACATTTGGAGATTTTTTGACCTGTAATAAAAAAAATTAAGACAAATTATTTATAATAATAGAGAAAAACAAAAGTTTTAAAGACAATTACAAAAATTTTAATAGAAAAGGTCTTTAATATTAAATAACTACTGATAGTATAAACTCTTAACATGCTAAAAACTTTGAATTCCTAATCCATTGTGAATATTTAATAAAAATTAAAATCAATATCATTATTATTTATTTTTTCTATTGGAGCTAATGATAAAATAATTTAGTAGGATGAATTCTGATGTAATAACATTTTTAAATGCAGAAGGCAAGTCAAAACTTTTTGTAAAAGCTTTAAAAAAATTCAGTCTCATAACATTAACATTCAAATCAGTTTCTTGATATCATCAATTCAATCTAAAGTGAAAAAGAAACAGAAGAATACAACTTCTGTTTTCTTTTCACTCTTCCTTCAACAATTCAGAATTAAATGTGATTAGATTTAAGAAATTATAAATCACATTTAATGTTAAAAAAAATCAGTAGTTGATGTTACTAAACCTTGAATTATACTGTATAGAAAACATAATTAGTAACAGAGTAAAAATATTAATTCTAAATCAATTTGGAATTAGAAAATTGTGAAAAATTACAATTTAAGATAAATTTGATAACCAAGATGAACAATTAAATGACATTTTTTAATAATATGATCAATATTGCAGATCTAATTTTAATGAATTATTGTTTGTGATTGCAGAAAACAATATATTTTCCTAGAATTAATTTGTCACAAAATCATGTAGAGTTTAATAAACTATTTAGTAATTTCTTTTCTTCTAAATACTTGTCTGAAGATATATTTTTTTATAAATATATATTAGTCTTTCCAAACTGAAAGCCTCAGTCTATAATGTGACTGGTAGGGTTATTACCTGCCACAGACTGATAGTGACTGAAGTAAAACAACCCCATCCCAGGGCTTAGGTGTCTCTCAGATATTTTTGTAGTATGCAAGAAGTTCCAAAAATAGCAGTTTTTTGTAAGTCAAATATCAAAACGTCCATTAAGTAAAGTTCTAGATACTTCATCAATCCAGGGGATACAACACCCACAGCCCGTATTACAATTGGTACAACTTTGATGCTTTTGTTCCACAGTCATATCTCAATTGCTAAATCTTGGTAATTATTCAGTTTTTCTTGCTCTTTTTCAACAATCCTTGGATCTCATGGAACTGCAATGTCAATTAAATAAACCTTTTCTTTTTCAGCTACTGTGATGTCAGGCATATTATGATCTGTTTGTCAGTTTGTAGTCTAAAATCCCAAAGTATTTTGACTTGTTCATTTTCAATCACTTTCTATACATGTGTTCGTACCAATATCTTGCTACTTTGATGTTAAAACTTTTTGCACAGGACCAGTGTATCATCTGGGTGATCTTATTTGTGCCTCTTTTTGTATTCAGTTTGTGTGGTTTTGATACATCCACTTGTCAGGTGATCAATTGTTTCACTGTTATTTTTACAAAGCCTGCATCTCGCATCATCTCCTCTCCGTATTTTTGCTTTAATGACATTTGTTATGGCCTAATCTTGAGCTGCAAATATTTTTGCCTCTAGCTTTTTTTTTACATTTCCTTTTTGTATTCATTGCCAGGTAATATATATATTTACACACACACAGACCATAATAAGTTAGCATTGTGGCAGTTCATGGCATCTAATATAAAGGTGTTGTCACATCAGGAGGGCAGTGGCATGCAACCCTAATAAAATCATTTTAATTTTGTGTAATGTTTTGGTGTTGATTTTGATTAATTTTAAGTTAAAATTAATATTTTATCAAACCTAACACCAAGCAAAACAATTCTATTAAGAATTTATGCTGCATGCCGTCATGTGACAGAACCCATACATTAGATGCTATAAGCCAGCATTGATTGTAATATACTTTATTATAATATAATTAATATATTATAATTTAGTTTTTTAAATCATTAATTTTGTATATAAGTCTTCAGATCACTAAACCTCTTCAGCTTCCAGCAAAACATGTAAAATATAACAATTCACATTCATTTTCAGAATTCACATGATTACAGCTTCAGGCATATAAACTGTTTCAAATTGAAATGCCTTGAACAAAGTTTTGGAATCTGCATGAAACTGGAATCTGGTGAATTCTGAAAATGTTTGTGAATTGCTACATTTTAGATGTTTTACTAGAAGCTGAAAAGGTTTAGTGGTGTGAAGATATTACATGTTTTGAAGTACAGTACATTTTAATATAAGTCTACTATAATTGCAATACACTTTTGTTCATCTGACCCCTCAATTATCCGGCATACCATCCATTGTGATCATCTATGCATTTCCATTTCAGTGCAAATAGCCATGTCACACGCCCAGCTTTCATTTCTGTGTACAGTATAGCCTATTAGTACCGTACAAACTGTATTATTTGTTCACCTGCTACCAAAAGAATCAGTATTGAAAGACAACAGGTTACATCATTCATTGCTTTAAGACAGGCTTTCAGTCCAAACATCCAGTAATCTAACATGCCTCTGTGGAAGAAATGGCCATATTAGCAAAAATCTAGTGTTCTTCCAATTTAATATATTAGGCAAACCATCATCAGCCTTCCTCTTTTAAAAAGATTATGCATCAGCATAATTTTAAAAACAGTAAAATTTTAAGGAAACTGAAACTGACCTCACAATTAGCTTTGATAGTAGCAAAACTATAGCATTCGTATACATCTTTTCCTTTTAATTCTTCATTATGTAGGCCTAAATTGACAGTCTCTTCGTCATTAAAGTGTAACAAAATATCATCCCACATTTTCGTCTTCTCGACGTATGTACCGTTGAAGTCAGACGATATTTAACATTCCCGCGTAATCGATGACTTAACAACATGTGCTGCCATCTATCACTTGTCATAAAAAAATATAAATTTTACAAACTTTAAAAAGTTGAATTATTTTTTAAATTAATTTGTATATTAATAGTTAAAATCTCTTGAAATGTAATTAAATTACATTTTTAAAAAAGTAAAATTAACAAAACTCTTCTATCGTAGATATGACGACACAGCTTTTTTTTATTTTTTGGATTCTGTCCTGCGGACACTTATTTGATTGCCCAAGCCCACAATTGGAGTGACCGGGTGATGAGGGATGAAAAAAATTCTGGGTTTTTCGACCTGTCCCGAATTCATTCCTCGATTTTCCGATCCGATACGCTGACACGTTAACAGCTCTGCCATCTGACCACCGATGTCGCTGCCTAGATTTTTCTTTTACGGTTCATTCTGACTAAATCAGACTGAAAAAAAAACTGTACTTTATTTTCAATTTCAGCCGACAAAATTCGGAGGCGATTAAAATTTGACCAATTTCAGTTGTAATTTTATACCCATATGTAACAAGATGTCTGCATCAATATTTTAGCAGGAGAAAATCGGCGTATGTGAGAAATGTCAAACAAATAAGCAGTAATTTGAAATTTATCTTTAAAGACAACATTAATTGAGCTTTATAAAGATTAGTTTATACGTATAATAAAATACGTATTGATTTTAAGTTTAAGTATAATATACAGTACTGTATATGAAGATTACTACCTTGATGTCAACAATGTAGCAATCCTCAATAGGATATACAGTACATTATATACTTACAAGTTAGTAAAAGTTTCTAAAAAGTTACTATGAACTCTTATATTAAAAATGAAACAAGTAAAATTAGGAGCTTAGAATAAATACAGTACTGTATTCACAAACAACTTTAAGAAATACAAAAAACAATCTAGCAACGAGTTGCGTAACTTTCCCGGCTGTTATGAAATTTTATTTTAAAAAAGAACTTTTATATTTTTAATTATCAAATGGCAAAAGTTTAATTTTCGGGGTAGTGATGAGTTTCATAAAAAAAAAATATTAAATGCTAATAAGTAATAACCAACGAGATAGAGTGATAAACCGGTTACTACAGCTGAGGCGAACTGAAGTGCGGCAGCCATGACAGCTGAAGTGGACTCCGTCTGTTGACTAAATTTAAGTTAATGATAACTGAAGATATTTTCCTATTTAGATAAAATTAATGAAGTTGTTTTTTACATATACAATGTATCGATATATATTGTGTAGAATTTATCATTAATTAATATATTATAATTTAGTTTTTTAAATCATTGTTTGTGACTGGACTCTTTGTCCATCTCCCCATTGGGTGACAAGAATTAAGCAGGTCAAATATATCATTTACTTTCAATGTGAATTCAACAGTTGAATCAACATTATTAAAGGCTTCTATACAAATTTCTTTACAAAATATAAAAGCATCACTTACAGATCTACTTAATGTCTGTGATGCTATATTTAACTTCATTTTTTGTGTCCACCATTCAATATGATGTGATTTTAATTATTTGAGACACGAAGACCTTCTTTATTCTGTAAGTTATGTAACTGAATAAAATATTACCATTTAATAATTCTGTTATTATTCTCACTCATCTTTAGAACTTTAAGATCAGCCAAAAGATCCTCATCAATTTCAACATATAAGCTGCATCAAGAAACGCATAAACTTTAATTTCTTCTGTTGAAGGGTGATAAAACCAGTTTTTCAAATTTTCTACATCAAAGGTAATTCCCAATTCTTTATACATTAAAATATTTGATGCAGATCCATCACATATTATTGCAATTACATGAGCACCAACTGAATATAATTTCTCTAAATATTGTTTTACCAGATTGGTTTTAACTGTGCTTTGTATTCCATTAATCAAACAGTAACCAACGGGAATTTTCCAGTCTTTGTTGATGCAGTAACTAAAAATACAAGTGCTCGTTTTGCTATGGGAGTATCATCAGCATCAAGATTTCTATGACCAAGATCAATATATCCTATTACTTCTTTCCCGTCCCAATCAACTTGTTTTTTAATTGCCATTTCATCAATAATTAAGCAACATAATAGTGGATGGGTTGAAATTTTATTTTCATCTCTGATTTTTATAAAAGACTGTTTAGTAAAGCCAGGACTATCATCAATATAAGACCATTTCCATAGAGAACTAGGAGCAGGTAGTTTAATAAACTGTCTTACAAGTTAGATACTCATATGCTTTACTAGAATAAAAGTGAATAAAGCAAACTTTTTAACTTCTGGATATTCATTGCCTACATTACCAAAAAGCTGATGTTTTAATAGATCACGAAACAGTCCATTAAAGTTATTTTATATTATTATAGCATCGGATTTATAAAGCATTTCTCTGAGCCTTTGAATAATGTTTTTTGAATTGACAATCTTATTTGAATTTCTTTTATTAGATTGTCTGCTATATTTAAGTTTCTTTTGTAGCTGTTCACATTTCTGTCTTGTTAAAATTAACATTTCATGCACCTTCTTTGGAGATGGCAAGAGACTGATACTTCATATTCTATCTTTGCAATTTTTTCTTTACGGGTTTCTGAAATAGGATCTTTAGATGTTCGTTTCCTTTCCGAACATTTTATTGCAGGGATTTTTTGAAGATGTGGAAGAAATGAAAAAATTGTAGGAATAGAATTTGGTTGTAAGTATCTTCTACCATTATTATAATTGAAGCATGTTTCTTCAAAATGAGATGAACAAATTCTACTATTATTGTTTGGTTTCCAACGATGGCGTCGCATTAGTATAAGCCATTTCTTAAGTAGGGATTCGTCAGCGAGTGGAAACCTGACAAAGAAAAAGCTTTATTTTAAATTTCACTATCACAAGAATGGAATCCGATTTAGGCCTACTTATCATTGATATCAACCACTCTAAAATTCATAATTTGATATGTATAAAGTTTCTATCTAAAATATTTCTAATTATTTAAATTTTTATTAATTTTAGACAGAATTTTAAAGTAAGTTCGACACTTTTCGTTTACTTTTATTGGTCAAACTTTACCTACGTGCACCGTCATGGCCCGTCATTTACGTGTGGCCATGACGGTGCACGTAGGTAAAGTTTGACCCTTTTATTAAATTAATCTTTAAACATTTATTAAACATAAAAAAGTATAGTGTGAGCAAAATTAATAATTATAACTGGTAAAATAAAATTCCCAAACTTTTCTTGTAACTGTTGGTACAATTGATAGCGGCACAAAAATGTGGCATGATTATTTCTTACAGTACGCTTCTCTATAAACCCACTGAAACTGTCATAGCGTCCTTCTCTTCAGTCAACTTCAAAAAGTGGCGCTGTAATCACAGCTACTAGTACTTTATGTTATTCTATCTCGTTGCTAATAACTGTTGTCCATACTGGTCGGCCACATTGCCAGTTTTATTCACGATTTAGCTGGAGCAACCACATGGTCCGAGAACGTGTTCAGTTTCATGTACAGTACAACTTACTTCAAACATTAAAGTTTTTACTGTTACAGTTATAGTTAAATGGCGCTTCATTTCTTTTTATAAATATCAAGCTTCGCGAAGTGCCCATCTACAACACGATTCCGATACTTTCCCTTGTTATGTATATGTTACAGTCAAAACCCGTTTTTAGTTAGAACGCGTTTTAACTAGTTGAAACTAGTTTATACTGAATGTCTTTGTTAAAACCCGTTTTGTCTAGTTGAAACTAGTTTATACTGAATGTCTTTGTTAAAACCCGTTTTGTCTAGTTAAAACTAGTTTTAACTCAAATTCATTTTCGACTAGCAGTAAATTCTAGTTTTAAGTAGACAGAACGTGTTTTAACAAAGACATCCAGTATAAACTAGTTTTAACTAGTTAAAACGCATCCTAACTAAAAACTGGTTTGACTGCAACGCATAGAGTGATTCGGGGTAAGATGGTAAGCGNAACTAGACAAAACGGGTTTTAACAAAGACATTCAGTATAAACTAGTTTCAACTAGACAAAACGGGTTTTAACAAACACATTCAGTATAAACTAGTTTCAACTAGACAAAACAGGTTTTAACAAAGACATTCAGTATAAACTAGTTTCAACTAGTTAAAACGCGTTCTAACTAAAACGGGTTTTGACTGTAACATATACATAATAGCCGGTAAAAGAAAACGGGACTATTTTTGCACGAAACAAACAATAAAAATCAAACGAAAATAATTTGATTTTGATACCATGAAAATTGTAACCTATTCATGAGGCTACTGCACCTACTATTGAATTTAAATTTAGTATAGTGAAATCTAGTTATCTCGAGTCGGTCGGGGAAAAAATTCGAACATCGAATTAAAAAGTTTGGAGTTACGAAGATTCGGCTAAAAATCAAGATTTTATGCATCGGTTTATCGGTGACCCATAATAAACTATCTATGCGATATTTCCATTTATTACGTAGAATCATTGTGTGAATATAAACCACGCGGTGTTGACCAGAAACAGTATAATAATACAGATGATACCACTCCTGTAGAGAGGTTTCAATTCGACATCACGAGTGATGTCATGAGCATGCTCAATTGTCTTGCACCATCTTTGTGGTTTGTTTACGTTTTATTTGTGTTTACGCACGCTTTAGCTGGAGCTCTTGTGTTGTTTATGTTGTAATAAAAAGAAAAAAATATGACAAGGCTCTCTCTGTCGCGTAGCAGCAGAGTTAATGTTTTTTTTTTTTTTTTTATAATGAAAACAAATCGCATGCAAGTCAGCCATGTCGTTTTCTCGTGAAGTCCACGTGTAAAGTTATTTATTTTAATAAAAAATAAAAGGTTATGGGCCCAGTCCACATCCAGTCTACGTCCAGTCCACGTGAAAATAAGAAAAGTACAGTCTTGAATGAAAGAGACCGTTGTGGTGCGCCTCTGAAGTTATACTTGGTTGAATACGTGCGAACGAGAACGAATAGAAGGAAAATGGCTGTCAGCACGGATTACAAGGTAAATGTAGATAAGCTCGAAGGGCCTGAAGACTGGGCA